CGGGCTCTGTGCTGACTGCCAGCTCAGAGCCTGGAGCCTGTTTCAGCCTGTGACTCCCTCTCTCTCTGACCCCCCCGTGCTCACACTGTCTCTCTCTCCTAGAAATAAATAAAACAACATTTAAAAAAAAAAGGAAACGAAGAACTAAGAGTCTAAAGTAAAAATGAAAACATTAAATATTAAAACCTGCAGGGATGCAATCGGCTTTCACACAGTCCCAGATCAGTCATTTTTATCCCTGTCAGGGTCAGAAGCCTCCAGAATGTGATGCAACAGGCCTTCTCTCTAGAAAAATGCATACACGTGAAGACGGCTGCGTATAACTTGGGGAGGCCGTGCACACACAGGAGCCCTCGGGCTATATAAATGACTGTGTCATCAAAAGCGAAAATAAATGAACGAAGCAGGCAATTAAGATTCAAGGAAAATGAAACGAACCCTCAAGGAAACTAGGAAAAGGAACAGCAAGATAAAAGCCAGGATAAAAACAGCACAATTGTTAGATCCGTGAGCTATTTCTTTGGGGAAAAAAATCAAACAAAACTAGAAAACCGCCAACTGCCGGAAAATAAATCAAGGGGGAAGAAAGGCTTCATCAGTATTGTCAGAAATGAGAAGGAAGGAGCATCCGGTACCGAAAACAACGGGCTCACGAATGAAGGGAGTACTGTGCATAACTGCATACGAATACACTGGAAAAACTCAATTTGTTCCCCTCTGAAAATTCAAATTACCAAAAGGGACAGAGGAAATAGAAAACCTCAATCATCAACAAAAAAAGAAGTTCCTGTATTTTCGAACATATAAACAGTATATTTTCTGCTCTCCACAAAGGCATCAAGACGTGATGAGTTTGAGTCATTTCTGATTTTCGAGGTGGATTCCACTCTTTGCAGTCTGTGTTCAGCTCATGTTTCCTGGGTGCCCACTATAGGCCCAGTGGGGTTGTCATGTAAATTCGACTCTCCTGTGCCCCAGAAAACGACCAGGTCATCAGTTCATCCTGTGAAGCAGACTGGACTTCCTTAGACCTGACAAGGGAGTTAAATTTCATAAGCTCTGCAGAGAGATCTATCAGCAGCAACAAAAATCGGTGTGTATGTATGTAACTACATGAACATTCTCTCTTCTAGAATGAAAACCCACACGCGCGTTCAGGAAGCAGGCAGGAAGTTATTTGTGTACACGGTGCCTATAAATTAACAAAGAACAAAAAGGCATCTAAGTGAACAAAGGAAGATGTAAGTGAGAGAATCTAACATACAAATGCTTATTGAAAGATGTTCAAGCTCAAATTAGATAAGCCAACAATTATGCTCCTACATGTGAAATGCCATTGATCTTCCCGCAGAGCAAACGTTTCTTGGGTTAGCCCTTTCGTCTTTGCCCTGCATGGCCAATCTTTCTGAATAGTGTCTGGCTTTATGAAACAGGTAGATTGCAACACGCCTGATCTGGTAACAAGAGCATGAAGTAAGGGAGGCATACAATCGGCAGCGATAGCCAGGGAACACTGAGAGGTGCCGCTCGTGTCTACGGGTTTGTCTGTTCTGAGGACTGGGTGGCGGCAAGCATCCTTCAGACGGACTTGCTCTGACACCTGTAAATGAACAGCATTGAGTTAACAGCCCAGACAAATGCCATTTTCAGCAGATTAGGAAAACGTGTGCTTTTCTCACTTCCCTGCTGTTAAACAAAAGAAAACAAAACAAAAAAGAAGAAACACTGGCCCTGCGTTGTCTGTGCCTTCTTGTCACCTGCTAACTAATGCTTATTGAGGAAATAACCTTTACAGAGAAAAATCAATACTTCAGTCTTGCCCACGCTCTGTCCTGGAGAGTAAGCTTTCTTCCTCATCAACCTTTCTTTCTTACCTGCTCCATTAGAGTTCTAGCCAGAAGCAGTTAAGTGTCAAAAAATCTTTTGTAAACTTGACCTGAAATTTTCAAGCAAAGGAGCGGAAGCCTGGGGATAAATCTGGTTCCAAGTAGAGTCAGATGGCCAGGGCAATTACAACAGTTCAATTACCTGGCACAACAGAATTTTCTAATGGTGTCTCATTAGGTATTAATGACATGAAATAATTACTGTCAAAGTGACCTTTTTTGTCAAGGGGATATAAACAAGAGAATCACTGAACACCAAGATAACATGGTGATACGTGAGAATTGCATCTTGGTAGGATTTTAGCATGTCGTGATTTCGAAAGTGAAAAAAAAAAATGTTCGTTAGGTAACGGCTTGTGTTGTATGAACGACCAGCACCAAGGACAGTTTTCGGTATGTGGCTCCTGCTTCAGTGTCAAGTCTTCTGAGAAATCTGCTCTTAAAAAACTTGTATTGACAAACTGCAATTTTTACCACAAAATTCTTCTGGTTCTTTGATGACAGTTGGGAACAAATTCCTTGTCCCCCGACTTCCTGAAGAGCAAGAACGATACTATGGGATCACTGGAGGGGGTAGGAGGGGAGCCCGTGGCCAGAGGCTGATGGTTCCTGACGGCCTGGTCAGATATATCTACGCCTGATTTGCAAAACGTCTAAATGCATTTGGACAAATAACTTTCCTGCCACAAAGGGACTGAGCTACTGTCGCCAAATTGGTGCAGCTAGTAGTTATGAAAACAGCCTTTACACACTGTTGGAAAAAGTCCCATCCGATGTATGAGCTAATCATCTACACTAAGAAACACCTGAAAAAAATACCACCTAACTCCGATGACTGGCCCAATCACAGAGGACGCAGGAAACGCGTCGTTGTTTAATAATGCTTTTGTGGCAAAGAGCATGACAGACGGTGCCGCGGTGGCTGAAGAGACAGACATCGAAACGGTCTAAGGGAAATGTGGCCTCGCTTTTTGCCTTCTTCGATGGGACAACCGTAACAACACGGTCACAGCGCTGCGTTTGCAAAGCAGTTCTCATGGACTAAGCCTGGCCCTCGTTTGCAGACAGAATGACCGAGGCTGAGTAGTGTCAACAGCTTTACCTCTACATTCAGACATTAAATTCAGAACAATGTGTATATTTCTAAATAGATGGAGGACGATTAAAAGCAAGGTTCCGATTTATTCAAACTTTGTGAGCTCTGCCAAGTCCTGGGGTTTATCATTTTAGCAACAGATTCTGCCCGGGAGAGCATGTGGGTTTTCCTACCGCATGGGCAAAAGGGGACCGTCATGTGGCTGCCACGCGGCCCACCAGAGCCTTGCTTGTACCTTGTGTGCTCGATGGCCCACTGCTCTCACCGGCCTACGGAGGGGGCAGAGGGCAAAGGGAGATCTGCTATTTCTAAGAAACATTGAAAAAGAAAGTGGCCCAGGCCGTGAAGAGAAAGGAAGTGGAAAACAGACTTGTAATGTGTTGTGGGATTGACTACAGTCTGAGAGCTGGGAGACCCATATCTGACCTACTCAAAATCGTTAAAGAACTGAACACAGGGGCTCCTAATTCAATGCTCTGTGTGTGTGTGTGTGTGTGTGTGTGTGTGTGCGTGCGCGCGCACCATGCGTGCATGCGTGGGCTCTAAGCACTGATCTAGGAATGCAGTGGTAGTTTGCAGCATGAGAACGAGAATACATGTGGGAACAGTTGCTGGAGAGGGTGCTTTGGGCACTAAAAGTCCATGCCCGTGTTACTCTGGAAGGGAGAGGCCTGGACACTCCTTTATACATACACCTTTCGAACAGGCTTAGATAATTCTGTTACAAAGGCAGGATGGGAGGTGGAAGAAAGCCACTCAAATTTCAGTAATTCAATAATTTATTCCTCTAAAAAAGTGTGTAAAAGTATATAGCTCTCATTCACAAGGTATATATGAATGACATTTAAAATGGAGGCCTTTTAGTATTGTTTTTTATCAAAGTCTTTTAGTGTACTGTACCAGCGCTATACTGTAGTTTTAAATGAACTTCACATATTTTTGTATTCTTTCAAATTGTTTGCTATATATAAAAGAAGCTCACTGCAAAATGCTTGAAGGAAAAAAGGAAACAAAAGAAATTCAGAACTTCCCAGAAATGTACAGCTTTTACATTTAAAAAAGGTTCTGAAATATACATACGAGCATGCTGGACAACCCCGCCCCCGCCCCTCCCCATTTCCCCTTTTTAGTTCAAACCATGGTAAGAGTTCTGATTTCTGCAGAATTTCCAAAATTAAAAATAAAAAAAAAAAATAAAATAACTTCTCACTCTGTAGCAAATCCAGGGCTTGTACATTTCAGATTAATTCAGTAAAAAACTCACAAGTAAAATAATGCATATTTAAGGGAAATATTATACAGACTTTTTCACACAGAAGTACATAAGATTTTTTAAAATCTATTGCCATTCATTTATTTTTGCACAAAAACGTATAAATATGTCACCAGCTTTTCTTAACTTAAAAAACTTAAATAAAAGACACCAGATGAAAACTACCCTTTGCTGCCTTTTTTTTTAAAATTTTTGTAGGGGTTTTTTGTTTTTTGTGTTTTTTTTCTTTTTTTGCTTAGAATTGGGTTTCTAGGGAAGAAAAGCCCCTGCATTAAAAACAGCCCATATTAAAAAAAAAAAAAATTCAAAGTTCTAATGAATTCTGGGAAAAAAAAAGCAACCCCAAAGTGGTAAAAGATTACAAATATCTACTTTACAATTTGTCTTCTCACCAAGATAATTTTATACAAGTTTACAATCTTCATCATCTTATGCTCTTCAAAAGGCCTTGAGAATTTTTCCTTTCTGATTAAGAAAAAATAGCACTGCAATATTTTTAAAGTCAATTTTACACTGTACACATTAGATACAAATGGTTTGATATATCAGATTTTTTTAACCTATACATTGCGAAAGTCACCCCCCCCTCAATTGGTGGTACAGAGAATAAAATTATCCATTTACAAGTTATTTCTCTGCTTACATATTCCCACCACACAACTTTTTTTTAATATAATGTTTTAAACGTTAGATTATTTCAAGAAAAATACTTTTACAAAATCATATCAGTTATTACATTTTCTTGTTTTTCTTTTTTTTTTTTGTTTTTTTTTTTTTTTTTGTTAATAACCAGGATATGGAAGTCTCTTGGAAGAACTTTAAAATTTGCATGATTCTCTCCACGGATGACTAGAGCTCAAGAGCCTGCCCAGCGCGGCGTGCGGGAGGCAAGCCCACGCCCAGTGCCCTCAGACAGAAACGCGCTGCGACGTCAGGGTCAGAAACGGGGTCTTAAAGACACCCCTCTTGGGCCTGGAATGAGGAGTCATAAAATACTTCAATTAGCCATTAATGCTTTAAAAAGGCATTATTATTTTTTTAAAAAAAAGTCCCACCACAAAGGCTCAACTTCAAGTACTAATTTAATGGTTAAGTTGTAATATTTCTTTGAAATAATATTCCTATGGTCCAGAAAAAAGTCACCATATTTATAACTGATTTTATGAGCAAACACTTTCCATTATGATATATACATGAGTCCCTTTTGATCTAATGAGAGGAGAGACCTGGCTTTCAATAAGAATTCACTAGAAAATAGGTTTCCGTTGTGATTCTATAAAACTGATGAAGGTTACTTGCCTCCGTGGCTCTGGGCTGAGCTTGACGCCTTCTGTATAAAATGTTATCCCTCGTGAAACGCTGGCCGCTTTTAGTAAGAAACATGGCAGAATGTTTCACCCAGTTTGTTCTGAATAAAGCCTAGTGCTGGGTGGTTTTGAATATATTACTTTTTAGGCATATCTCCCCAATCTGTTTTCACTCCTTTTCCGGCTTCTAGGACAGAGGTATGTAGTCAAAGAATCCTATGGTGGGTCTGAGTTGGGTTTCAGCTACTGTACCTGGTCCTCATGAATTAAAAAAATTAAGTCACAGAAAACATATGACAAAACAACTGAAAATAAATAAACAAAATGAAGATGTCTCCAGACCTTTTGTAGCTACACACGGGTATGAAGGCAACCAAAGCATCCATGCCGATCTAGATGGGACCCCTAGGGGGACAGAAACCCCATGATGAAACCATAAACTTGAGCTGGTTCTTATCTGTAAAAAGCTCCAGATGATGGAGTTCAGGTAACCCACAGGCCAGACACCAACAACTAGAGGATTTCATCCCGAAGGGCTAAGCTGCCCTTGCTTTTAAACAGAGACTGGAAACACAGACTCTTGTGCAAAAGGATACTGTCTCTTCTGTTTCCCTCTTTAAAACCAACAACAACAACAAAAACTTCCCGTGGACCAGTGGTTTGAGGCCGCACACACCAGAACACTGGCGAAAAGTCAGCGCTTATGGAAGTTTCCAGGTCCGTGAGAGAAGTGTCAATGCATCGCTCCGGTAATGAACACTGCAGAAATGACACGTGCCTGCCGAGGAGTCGTCACGGTGCAGGACTGTGGAGAGGGGTCTCAAGAAGAGCATGTGGGGCATGTGCAGAGTGCAGGGGGTCCTGGGACCGAGGCTGCAGGGGGGAGGGACTGAGCCAGAGAGCACAAGTGCTTTTCCGGTTAAAGTATGTTCATGACGGCGTTGTACAGCTGCGTGAGCACCACAAAGTGGACGGGAAGGCAGGAGGTGCGGTCCTGGGTGGCCGGGTTGCACGTGAGCCAGGACAGAGCGTTGTACTGCTCCAGGACGAACCTGCGGAGAGAGCGCACGGTCAGGGCCCCGGGGCGCGGCAGAGCCGTCCATCCTCCCCTTCCACGCGCCAGCAGGAAGAGGCCAGTCTTTCGCTCACCCCAGGTCTCCTCGTGGTTCCTCGCCCTGCACGCACCTCACCTAGACCTGCACCGTGCAGTACGGCAGCCACGGCCACCAGGGGATTCAGATATGCTGCACATGGAACACAGGTGCCGGATTTCAAGGAATCCGTATTTTACAAAGGTGTGTGAGACGGCCCATGAATATTTTTATAGGGGTTAGCTATTGAAATGATACTGCTTTCTGTATACTTGATATTACTTTTATTATTAATAATTTATGATTATTAAACTTAACCTCATCAATTTATTTTACTATTTTGACGTTGCTACTAAAAACAACTGAATTAGATTATGTGGCTCACGTTATAGTTCTACTGGACACTGCCACACTACAGACCCTGAAAGCCTGAAAAACCATATTGATTGGATCCTCGCTTAACTATAATTTCTAAATCATTTAAGAGTTATTAGAAGTGGTGCCTGGGTGGCTCAGTCTGTTAAGCGGCTAACATCAGCTCAGGTCACGATCTCACGGTTTGTGAGTTCTAGCCCCGTGTCGGGCTCTGTGCTGACAGCCCGGAGCCTGGAGCCTGCTTCGGCTTCTGTGTCTCCCTCTCTCTCTGTTCCTCCCCTGCGCACACTCTATCTCTCTCTCTCTCAAAAATAAACAAACATTAAAAAAACCACAGTTATTAGCAAATACTGGAAAAAGTTTGCGTGTTTCCTCAAGGCACGTAGAGAATGTTCGTGCTCTGCCAAAGTACAAAGGAATTAGTGTACACTTCTGGGAGATATTTCCCAACTACGGAACTTATGTTCTAATTTTATTTATATAAATCTATGTCAGGGGGAGTGACAAATGCTTTCAAAGCCAAGTGCTTTAAGTCCCAGGCTCTGTCTTCTAACCACACACCCCCGAATTCAGACCCATTTTCATCACCATAAAATCTCTCCTTCAAACAGAAAGCAAGGGCAAGTGTACGTGCACGCACCCAATGACTTGAACCAAGAATACTAGTTTCTCCGAGCAGTGCTCGCGTGGGGGGCTTGCACGGGGGGCTGCCTGCAGCAGTCCCTGGCTGAGCAGACGGCGCTCCGCTGCATGAAAGGTGGCGCCTTTTCCACACTTCAAGTAAATGCTTTGCAGAAGCAAAACTAAAGGAAGATCACTGCAAACTGTGCTGCTATTTTGCCTTAAAACAATCTACCTTAAAACATCAGACGTGGTTTTGGAGTCAAGAGGATGGGGAACCCGCTGAGAATTCCTGGCGGGGAGAAGTTCATCCGTCTGTGCGACAGAGATGTGGTGGTGCAGCGAAGCCTGGCAAAAGAACAAACATGGTTACGTTCCCAGCCTCCGGGCTCCTAGGAGCCTCAGTTTTAAGCTCTCCGTAACTCTGATGTGACCCCAAATAACTCCATACCCTGGAGGTGGAAAAAAGCTAGCTTTGCAAATCCCAGTGCAGTACAAAGGATTCGATAATGTGCCTCTTCAGGTCTTCATGCGTAGAAGGCCCCAGCGTCCCCATGGTGTGGGTACGGCTGGCTGTGCCCCTGTGGTGGCTGCTTAACACGGCTGACGCTACGTGGGTCTCAGTCCTCACCTGGAGAGGCATGAATGCGTGCAGCCCTGAGTGCGGCGCGCCCGATCACGGCAGCGAGGTGCCCAGCGCGCCCCGTCCGCTACACGCCATGCCATGGCTTTAGCATACTTTATCAGATAACAGAGAGAGACGGTGTGTAGAGGGCAGCTGATATAAACCCTTTATTTTTTAGATTTCAGATTAATGAACTGTTGCTCTGGTAGCTTCAATGGGTGGCTAAAATGTTCTAGATTTCAGCACAATTAGGAACCCATGTATTTGTTTCACTCTGCTACTACCACTGTTCTTTTGCATGTTCAAACTGTCCCGTCCCTGGGCCACGGGAACCCTCCAGTTGGCGGGCCCCGTGAAGTAACTCCAATGATCTTAAGTAACTTCCTTGCTATTAGGTGTGACCACGCACCCTAGGCTCACCTTGCATACATCTTACTTCAGATCTACAATCAGTCAACTCTTCAAAGGAACTCTGGCTCTTTCAAACGATAAACGGGACTTCAGAACCAGGTGCAGTGAGCGCACTGTTTACTGACACTGTCACTGCTTGTAAGCTTTTTCAGTAGACCCAGCTGAAAAATGCGTGTACCTTTCGTAAGAGGAAAAAATAAAGCCAGGTTCATCCTGACAAGTCTAATTCAAAACAAGGATGACACCACTTATGTTGTAGAACTTCCTTGATTTCATAATAATATGTTAGAGCCATTAGTTGAAAGAAACTGCTTCAATTGTTTTTGGTTTAACCTTCCCTTATTCCTTTTAGAAAATACAAGTGTGTGTGTGTGTGTGTGTGTGTGTGTGTGTGTGTGTGTGTGTGTGTGTGTGTGTGTGTGTTTGCACACAGCTTGTCAATCACTGCCAGGCAACCCACCCCCCACAGAACGACTGCATCGTAACCACCCTGGCTGTGTGACAGACGGCTGACATCCCCTGGGTGGACATGCTAGTTTACTCCACCAGCCCCATCCTGGGGGACAGCTCTGGTGCTTCTAATCTTTTGCACTTAGCACTTTTTGGTGCCGCCAGTGTCTCCCGAACAGGCCTGCAGGGGTGGTGCTGCTGCAGCACAAGGGAAGCGCGTGGGGCCGTACCGCCTGGCTGACCTACTGGCACCAGGGCCACCCTGCCAATCGAGCAGGCTATCAAACTTCAGGCTCTTTGCCAATCTGTAGGTGAGACATGGGTTTCATTCCAGGTTCTTTCATCCAAACTGGAAGTGGGAGATCTTTGGTTTTAACCCTTAACTTGCACTAAAAGGTTCCAAGACGTGTACAGGAAGGAGCCTGTGTGAGCAGATGTAAGTTTTAGCTGCCTCCTGCCCTATTTTAATGAAGAAAGCCGAAGCCTGGGGTGGGGGGTGGGGGTCAGCCAATTATGATCACATCCACCAAAGTGAACTTTGCCAACGGCAATGCTTGGTGGACTTAGAGAAAGACTGTTACATACAACCCCGGGTCCACCCTACGTGTGCCCTGCGGGCCCCACAAAGTCTCCTCCGTGGGTTCATGTGTTTGCTTCCTTTGTGATGTGGTTTTGGGTTTCTCTCCAAAATCCGACTCCCTGCCTGCAACTGTAATTAAAATGTCCTCAGAGTGTGAGTAGATGTGAAAGAAACCGGGAACACAGTGAGACTGTGGGGACTGACACGAGTTTGTAACCAAACGCAAATTTCCTAAGTCACTCCTCCCCCTAAAATGTCAAATATGACATGAAACCAACCTTTAGGAAGAGGGGGCACTGGTTCTGAGCCTGGGGACATGATGACCAAAACCACTGGGGGAGGTTCTCCGCTTTGGCAGTTGACACGAAATACCCAAGGGCCAGAGGCTGCTGCTTCAGCTCCTCAGGCGCCTCTCTAGAAAGAAGACGCTCACCCTGACTCTGCAAAACAACGTCCCAAGAACATGATCAGCGTTCAGCACCTAAAATGAAGCTTTAAAAATCAACCTTTCATCACGTCCCTCGGCACACACTTTTTATCAAGTCCCCCTTCTGACGGCTTTTCACACAAAAACGCCAGGTGGCCGAGAAAGGTCAACAGGGGAGACACGGTCTTTGCTACACGGACAGACGTCGGATGAAAACTATGGCCCAGGCAGAAGGGAACAGCAAAACTAACTACGTCAGGCAAGCAAATACAGATGTGTTTGCTCTGGTTTCTTTTCTGCTAAATGTCGGGTGTGTTCCGTGGCATCCAGCATCCAACTACAGGTGGGAAGAACGGACTCCGGCAGCGGAAGGCACCCCCACCCCGCTGCTCTCTCACCTGCAACCAACCAAATACACAGGCGCACCTGACCGTCTGCTGTCAACAGACGGGCACGTGGGAAACAGGACCCTGCAGTGCTCTGTGTGACGCCAGTGTCGCTGACCACCCAGCATGGTGAGGGTGAGGTCTGCTCGTGAAGAGGCCCTGCTTGAATTCTCAGCAACCTCCTTAAACACGAGACTCATGCAAGAGCCTGACTGCGCATTTCTGCCACTGGCATTTTCCTCACCTTTGAATCTTTTAGCTGGCTTTGAGGGTTGAGACCAATTACGCAATTGTTATTATGCTCTCTTGTTATTATGCAAGCAATAATAAGTAACTGTTCGTTTTCAAAGGCCTTCTGTTTTGAGGGAAAAAATAACCCTCTACTATTACATCAAGTTGTATTCATTCTAGGTAGGTTTAAAAAATAAAAACTAACTCCAAACTTGCACAAATTCTTTTTCCTTTTGTAATGTCTTAATTGGATATCAAAGAATGTTTAATGGTTCAGAAAGAGGAAATACTGAAAGCCTCTCGGGGGTCACCAGGCTGCAGGTGCTCGGGACTGAAACAGGCCACCTGACTTGTTTTCAGAGCAGTGCTGTTTAAATTCTGACATTCAATTTACAGGCTTATGGCTTGAGGCTCCAGCAGAGGCAGAAAATACAGCAAACCTCTGTTTCTTATAAAACTAACATTACACTTCAACGACCAATTCTTTGTTAATGGATAAACGAAATTACAACCGCTGCTACTGAAAGGTAGTTGCTATTCTTTCCATTTCACAGATAAGGTAACTAAGGCTGAGAAAGGTAAAGCAAGCTTGCTCAAGGTCACAAAGCTAAAGCCGTACTGCTCTAACTCTGAGCTACATTTGGCAAACTCTAGGGCACATGCTCTTAGTTGCTATGCTATTTGCCTCTAGAATTCACATTAGTCCTAAATTACAACTACTTAACATAAAATCTGTGAACTTGGTTCCTATCACAGCAATCTCCAAAGAACCAATAAACTGTCACTAACTGGCAAGTGGCTGTGGCGGAAATAAACACATCTAAAACCTCTTCCTTCTAGAAAGGAGAAATGGGGGCAGGCAGTTCCATGAGGGTAGATCTACTGAGTTACTCTTCCCTGGTTTTATCTGCTCTATGACGGACGTTTTAAATCTTTTCTCTTGACCATCCTTTAGTGAACTCCAGGCTGGCAATAAAAGGTCCACGGACAGAACCCTAAGTCCTCTAACTACAACTGTGTGTAAATGAGTGTGGGCAGTGTTGTTTATACCTGCCCAGGTTAAGAAGTTAGACATAGCCGTTGTTCGAGGTCCTAAACCCTCAATCTCAATCTCGTATTTAAAACAGAAGGTACAAAAGAGCGGTAAGGATGAGGCGTCTCGCTTTTAAACAGTTAACACAAGCTATAGTAGAACCTTTAACTCTTCAATCCTCTGTTAATCCATCTCCAATACCCCTGGGGTATTTAAAGGTGAAACTGGGGGTAAGCCCTGGTGCTGTGTCTTAGTCCTAGGGCCTTAACCTGCACACTTCTCCAAAATCACCCTTCTGCGGGCCCTTGCCATTTTGGCACGCAGCTACAGAGAAGGCTGGAACTGTATGAATAAAGGCACCAGGACATGAAACAAGAATAGTAAGGCTCGTTTCACAATAATCAACCATCAACAATGTGTTCTTCAATAAACAGTTACTTTACATGTTAAAAAACCAGGGCCATTGAACTAGCCTCTGAAAAGCCACTATTTTGGCAAAAAAAAAAAAAAAAAAAAACCCAAAAAACAAAAAACTGGGAAGTAGCAACCAACCAAAACTAATTTCTGCTAAGAAAAGAGTCATTGCAAAATGCCTTCCTGCTGATAAGACATACTCATCAGGAACATTTTCAGGAATAATCATCCATGTCTTTCAAATTCCTGCCTTCATTCAAAACAGAACTACTACAGAGTCACTTTTCCACACGGATTTCACACATACCAGGGACCAAGGCCATCAGGAAGAAAGGCTCACCAAGCCAAGAGGCAGGCAGTCCCACTTCCGGAGAGCTGCTGCCCTGAAGGACCTACCTCAGGCCATCCTTACCCGACTGTGCTGGAAGTGAGAGCCCACACCAATTCCAGACGGAGAGCCTGGGGAAGGAACTGGGGAGGAGTTGGGAGAGGAATGGAGGTTGCCAGTCATTAGGATGCCAATGTCGTTATCCATATCATCTGGGAACGGAAGGTCAACAAACATGTCATCTGGAAAGGAGGGAAAAGAAGCACAGAGATTTAAAAAATAATCTATATCTGCAACTTGAACAATCTACTGTTACGTTGGCCCCTCAACAAATGCATGCTGTTAGCAACGTGGTAAGATTTAATGTGTTGTCTACTGGATGTGAGGTGCTGAAAATTGTTTTTTCATTTTTGTATTCTGTTCGATGATCTTCTAATGTGAAGAATTAACAGACTGGGGAAATAAAGAACATAAAACAAAACTCCACGCTTTGTATAGCCTCCAAAGGCACATTAAAAAAATGGCAAAACAGCTAAAAAAGCAATTTAATTATTAAACAAAGTTAAAATTGATACCATCGAAGAAAACAGCAGACTCTGTCTATGCATCCAATTAGCATCTAAAATAACAGAGGCTAAATTAATGCAATGTTAATAGGTGTGAACTTGCCCTGAAGCTGGAGGCCTATGCCAAAAGCATATCAAAGCATGTTTTCATTCAGAAATCCTCTCCCACATTACAAAAGTAAGGTACATGCACAACAGAAAATTTGGAAAGAAGAGTATAAAAAGGGAAAACTATCACCCAGAATGCAATTACTGTGAACATTTTTGCTACAATTCTTATTCTCGTATCGTTACTCCATTGCGATCACACTGTATATAAAATCTGGAATCCTTTACTCTCCCCATTTAACAGGAATAAGTGCTGGTAGCTATTAAAAATTCTTCAAAAAACGATGCAAATGGCTACATAATATTGAGCATTTTATGGTTTATAAATAACCACTACTTAACAAATGCCTTAACAGATATACAAACCAAAAACATCGATTAAGAAGAAACAAATAAGGAGCTGTTTTGGAGCCAATTAGCCTCCCACCGACTGCGGGACAAGAGCTAGTGCAGACTGCCAGGCGGTCTCCGTCCATCTCCAACCAGATGGCCAGCTAGTTACTGCAGGAGGGGCACCCATGTGCAGGACGCTATCACCCGGGAATTATTTTTTGCCTTTAGTGATAAACAGAAAACTAATTATGTAAGACAGGAAAACATTTATTTGGGCTTGGAACTGGTGTTCCCAAATCTTCAAAGCCGAACAGACTTCTCCAACCCCGAGTCCCCCTTCATCTCGTACACAGTGCTGACTCGACACACGCGGCAGGGTGCCGGGGGCACCCTTCAGCTCTGCTCCCGTGGGGACGTGGAGCTCTGTCTTTCTGCGCCTTCCGCACTCACCGTTGTTGGGGCTGAAGCCGTCTTCGTTGGGATAGTTGGCCGGGGCCACCTGGATGGTTGAGGAGGTGGGAAACACCAGGATGTGTGTGCAGGAGGCGTCCTGAGGGGTGTTCAGCTGTGACGACTGCATGTTCAGGGCGGTGCTCCGGCCAAACACAGAGCCCATTGTGACGGCGTCTTTAAAAAAGAGAAAGAGAAAGAAGTGGACCGATTCCTTCTGAGCATCCGTAAATACTGCAGAAATGAAGTTTTAGGAGGACCCGACCTGGAGAGACAGGAGTCGGACACAGCTGGCAGGATGGATGGGTACACACCCCAAGTTCTGCCTCACTGTTCAAGTATCTGCCAAGAAACAGACTCTAAGCACACGGCTATGACAACCCAAGCCTCACTGCACAGGGGGAGGTTAAGATATAATCAGACTGAGCCCACCACGTTTTTTTTTTAAATTTCTAATTTTTTATTTTAGAAGGGAGTGTGTGTGTGTGTGTGTGTGAGAGAGAGAGAGAAAGAGAGAGAGAGAAAGAGGGAGAGAGGGAGAGAGAGAGAGAGAGAGAGAGAGAGAGAGAGAGAGAGAGAGAGAGAGAGGGAGAGGCAGAGAGAGAACCCCGAGCAGGCTCCATGGTCAGCACGTAGCCCAGCACAGGGCTCCAGCCCACCACCCTGGGATCGTGACCTGAGCTGGAATCAAGACACGGACACTCAACTGACTGAGCCCTCAGGTGATCCACACCATATATGTTTTAACTACTTATTTAAGAAGTAGTTCTAAAAATAAATCTATTTTCTTTCTGCTGTGGTTGCTCACAATTTATAAAGTTCTGAAAGACACGATTCTGCAGACACAGTACCACTGACCGAATAAGGATTACAAGTAACGATTACTGAATGCTTACTACGTGCCTGAGTCTGTGCTGAGCTCTTTACTCACTGACGTCACCTCACGCAGTCAGCACAGCTTCCTGAGGTACAACTATTAGCCCCATCTCATCATGAGGACAGAGAACAAGGACGTTATGAAATCTGTCCAAGTGGTGCAGGCAACAGTTAACCTGGGGCTGCATGTGGCCACGACAGGACCTCTGCCTCTCACCGCACTGATGACAAATGACACGATCTCACACGACACTACTGGTTTTTACAGGGACAGCATCTCCCATTTGGTCAGAGACATAACTGGAGTATAAGAGCAGACTAGAGAAAGGCATAAAGCTGCTTAGCTAAAAAATTATAAGGGAGCTTAGTTGCTATTTTCTTAAAACTTCTGTGGCCACAATCTTTTGGCTATCGACACACAGGGACTCCTATCTACCGAGAGCTTACTACGGGCCAGACACCGTGCCGATGACCCCGCCTCTATGTGCCTCATCACTGCCCCCAGCCACGTCAGAGACACTCTAACTGGCCTCTCGAGGCTGCTTAGAGATTCTGTCAAACATCTGTCTTCAGAAGCACATTCAAATATGATCAGGGTGGTGTTCCTGTCAGTGGTTTTTGGAGGGTGATCCTCAGACACTAACAAGAAATTAGGGTCAGGCAACAGTAACTGGCCATGACTCTGAGAGCTCTCGGTCCCATCCGTGACTTATGGTGTCTTCCAAACTATGGTCAACAAAGATGACAAAACCACAGACCATGCCCCTTAGGAGAGACCACATGTTTGAACTCTAAGCACCCTCTTCTCACAAAGATAATAAAGATCTACTCTACACTTGTCTGTAGACTTTAAGACTGAATGGGCTGAACTGATGTGATACCTGACTAATGAAACTGGTAAGAGGTTTACCTGGCATCACCACAAAGGAGCCCTGGGGCTCCATGGCAACCAGGCAGGCACTGAGAACAGAAGGGGAGTCTGCGGCAGAGATCCCACACATCCGGCACACGTCCTTGAGCCGTTTGCTGATTGTCTGTAGTGAACATTCTCCAAGGAGGATACTCCAGTCTGAAATCAAATATCACAGTCATACACAGTCTTTAGAAATTCATATTGATAGGCGGTTTGAGCGTTTTTACGAGATTTGCCTGGTAATTGAATTTCTAGGACTGGGCCCCAAAGGGAATGAGGCTTTGCACAGGTTTCCCTTCTTGTTACAAAGAAAATGTTACTTGACCTCTCTTGCACTTCATTAACAAAGAAACAAAGGCCTACTATTCCACATGCTGAAATGATGTCTGAAATGACCTGGGAGAGCCCAGCACAGACCTAGACAGATGCAGGCACTTCACATGGTTTTGGTGACGCAGCCGGTCTGTCCTACCCTCTCTCCTCCTCCTCCTCCTTCAGGCCTGGCTCGTTCACTGCCCCGATCGGCCCTTATCATTAGAAGAATGCACAACTGGGAGCAGACCTCGGTTTGCTTTGCTGCTGTAGGCTGGCTGTTTCCAGGGAAGGCAAGCAGAGCAGAAACAAGGGGAACCCTTCTCAGAAGGCCCAACAGAGCAGATGAACAACGGGTGTGAGTGAGGCGCTCCAAATGATGTAACACCAATTGTCCAGATTAAAATGCAGGCAGAAGTTTTCTTCCTAATATTTGTTTATTGCCTCCACACAAAGGTACTATGTCTTCTCAGAGAACTTAGAGGGTCACGTTACTCCAGGAATGGAAAAGTACTTAGCCCTCTCCTTTGACCCCCAACACACAGGAAGCTGCCATATTCCTGCGGCAGCACACTGCCGTCATATCATGTCCCACCCACGAAAGACCACTCTGCTACGGGTTCTCTACTTTCCCACAGTTTTTTCAAATAAGCTGTTCTCCCCTGAAGAGGTGAAAGGAACAACTTTTTCTTGTTTCTTATTCCTAAAAAACCTCAATCTGAAGTGGCTAAAATAAATGTGGCCAAGTCACAAAGAATGTATTTTTAAAAACTACAGGAAAATCATACAGGCATGAGTTCTGAGTTTGAAACCAAGTAAGAAAAAGAAAAGCACTGTATTTTATCACACCCCGGTGATTAAAAAAAACAAACAAAACAAAACAGAAGTTCACAAAGCTAACTGAACTCTATAGGCTCACAAGGGATACTGTCCCACAGAAATGCAATGTGGGCCTTGGAGCCCCAAGGGAACGAAATGCAGATCGGTAAACTAATTTCCTGTACACTAGGCTCTTCTTGCGGTCTTTATCCCTTTATCCCCCTAACCTTTGGATGGCATCAGTCACACTTCTATTCCTTTCCCGTAAGAGATAAGAAGAATGTCCCTTCTACAAAATTATACAAGAGAAGGCAGTGGCCTTAATAACTGTCCAAGACACCAAGTGACTAGACAAGGCTACATTTTTATCCCCTCTTCTCCTTTTCTGCTATATTCTAACTTTTCCCAAGGGTTAAGAGTAGCTCTAACCCTTTAAGAGATAAGATTGACTACAAGGCCTACCAGGAGAGAGGGTAGGAATTCTGACAGAAATGAAATGACGAATCCCCCAATGCATCAGACCTCCAGGCTACTGATACAAGATTCATTATAAGTATGATATTCTTTAAAAAATGAATAGGGTAATATTTTCTATTGGCCTACAGTTATAATTAGTAAAAAAAAAAAAAAATTGCACACAATAGATTTCTAACAGTTACCTAATACTTTTGTAATTTAATATATGCATAAACTGCTATTAAATCCTGACAGTTCACTGACTAGAGCAATTGCTACAATCCAAGTTGAATCGCATCAGGGGTTTTATTTCAGGGACTCCACAAATACCAGATATAAATTTCATGCAAAGGAACAATATGTGCATTCTAATACAAGGGTCTGCAAACTATGGTCTGCAGGTCAAATCCTGCCCACCACCATTTTTTTTTTTTAAATAAAGTTTTATTGGAATATAGTCAAACCTGTTCACTTAGGTCTTAATCCATGACTGCTCTAACTGTACAACGGCAGAGCTGAGAAGCTACAACAGTGACAAGCTGGCCTGCAAAGGTGAAAATATTTACCACTTGGCCTTTTACCTAGAAAGTTCGCTGACTCAGCTCTAATATACCTGTGGGCACAAAACCACCAAGCTGATCTGTGACACATGCTTTGCTTTTGTATAGAGCTTAGAAAGAAGCTTCTCCCATCTCTACGTACACTGAACTTCATAAATGTGCCATTAATTACTAAGGCTTTAAAAAAATAACGGAGGCCTATGCATACTGCTCATGTCAAGTAGCTACACAAGCACAGCAAATGAGCAGGCTCACAGCCAGGCAAGGTTGCTGCCGCCCAGTCGGTCAGTTGTGTTGTTAGTTACTTTTAGTGCCTTGTTGACTGACTGTTACATTAAGGACAGGGAACATTAGCAGCTGGCAGGTATACTGGGGCCCAACTTATGGAAGTCTGCTCTCTTAAGCTTCCAGGCTGAAAAATATCAGACCGTGGCGACGTGAGTAAAGCCTATTCCAACCTGCACCTACTGGCCCTTGTAAATCAGGACCGCCTGGCTCTCGTGCAACCAAAACAAACACAAATTACGTCACCATCAATCAAGAAAAATAATAAAAGAAAGTTAAGTTGATTCTAGCATCCATATGTCTTTAAATTTTCACATTAAAACTGACCTGATCTCACTGACCCAGTACAAAAATAAATGTTAGAAATTCTAATTTACAGAGTATCACTTTTATGTTCATACTTTTTTTTGGTCTTATATATTGGGATTCAATATTTAAGATTTCTTTGGTTACATCATTTGGTTGATGATGAAAAGTTTACAAACTGCCAGTTTATCCTGTACATTTAAAAGAATCAGAAAGTAAAAATCTGCTTTACTCTTACTACCAACTTGACCATTTTCTCGGTCAGCTCAGTTAGGGACAGTAGTTCAACCCTTTTCCTTTGTTTCCAGTACTGCTTGCAGAGTCTCTCACCTTTAAGCTCACCATGGCCAAGCCGCCCAAGTCTGCCGATTACCACTCTCCAGGGTAGAGATGTCATTTGGACAATACCTATGCACCACTCCCATAACTTCTGTAGTCCAATTTTACGTGCAGATACTTTACTCCTCCGTGATCTACAAAAGAAAGAAGTGGGCAAGGGGTCCCCAAATGAGTCTAAGTTATCGCTTAATAAGACAAAACTCAGAAAATTCCAAAGAACCCACCCACCACATGGCACCGAGTGCATTTAGACAGGAAAATCAGAAAAACTCATATCTGAGGAGAGGCACGGTATCGATTCATATGTAGCATAAACACACAGGCTCCTCACCTGTTTGGTAAAGCAATATTTACAATACAGGTTTCTAGTAATTCCCCATGGAGGTCAGTGCAGGAAGCCAAGAGCCAGCGCTGGTCATGAGACAGACAGTAGCCCACAAAGAGCACGTTGTACTTCTGGCTCGCCTCCCCAAAAGTCTCTCCCAGCTCCGTCTGCTTATCTTTGATTGGGGCCAGTATAAAAGGAGGGGAGTAAAGCTGGATTGGACTGGGTCGCTGAAATCAAAATAAAAGTCAGTGTCAACACAAAACCACTTAACGTTTCCAACAAAACCCAGAATAGCACTTGAAACCAATAGGGAGCAATGGATAGACTGCCCCCACCCCCAGCAGTATTACACATGTAAATAATAATGGTAACACAGAAAACAAAGATTGTGTAAGTGACATCAGCTAGGAAACCCCAATCAAACCAAAGCTTCTTTTAATTTTTAAAAGAAATTACTATTTTAGTAAGTAAATCAGCCCAACTTCATTAGTCATCAAGACAGCAGAAATTAAAACCACAATGAGATAGCACTATATACCCACCAGAAAGTCAAATAAAAAAAAGAAAACGCTGGGTATCAGGGAGAATGTGGGGTCACTAGAACTTTCATACACTGATGGTGATGAACCGCTTTGCAAAGGTGTTTGACGGTATCTGCTAAAGTCAAACACACATATCCTGTGACCCAATCAAATGGACATATATGTTTACCAAAGGACAGGTATTAATCATAATAGCTCCAAATAAAAAATAACCTAATACCCATCAACAGTAAAACGAAAGACAGACTGTGTTATAGTTACACAATCAGAATATCAAATAGCAAGGAAATGAAAAAAACTACCACAACAAGGAACAGAACAATTAATCTCAACACTGAGTAAAAGAAGCCAGACACAAAAAACTATAAATTATGTGCCTCAATTTACATGAAAGTCAAAACCAGGCAAAACTTTGTTGCTTTACGTCAGAATACTGATTACTGACAGAATGTCTAGAAGGGACAGGAAGAAGGTTTCTCGATGCTTCTTATGTTTTGTTTCTTGTGCTTGTTATATGCTGTATTTAGTCAAAGTTCATCAAGCGGTATACTTATGATCGGGTATTTTTCAGTGTGTAAATTATACTTGTGTGTGTGTGAATGTGTGTGTGTGTGTGTGTGTGTGTGTATGAGCGATTGAAGAAATCAAAACTTCACTGTTACCAGTAAGACAAACATTGTAGACAGTTAAACTGTGACAAAATTTAGTTGGCACCATTATTTACAGCCGTTATACACATTTCAACAATGAAATACAGTACCAGTCAGCAAACTTCTATAAAAGATAGTAAATATTTTAGGCTTTAGGGGTCTCTCTTAAGAATATTCTTCTCTTTTTAAAAATGTAATAATCACTCTGGGGCACCTGGGTAGCTCAGTCAGTTAAGCATAGACTCTTGATTTCGGCACAGGTCATGATCTCCTGGTTTGTGAGATCTAGCCCTGCATGAAGCCCGCTTGGAAGTCTCTCTCTCTCCATCTCTCTGCCCCTTTCCCCTGCACTCTCTTTCAAAATAAATAAATAAACATTTTTAAAAAATATAATAATCATTCTTATCCAGGTCATACAAATACAGGCTACAGGCTGGACTGTACCTACAGCCGGCTGCTGACCCCTGAACTATATACCTGTATGCATATAGATATATCATAAAAAAAATAGTTGATAATGGAATTACAGAATTTTAAAGCTAAAATAAAGACCTGAGACAGAATCTAATTCAATTCCTTCATTTTAGGGATCCAAAACACAGGCCTAGAGATATTCAGTAACTTGCTCAAAGTTTCAAAGCGAATCCTATCACTGATCTATTCATTCTCCCTCCACCTGCAAAGACTACTCGTAGGTATTTACCAAGAGAACGGAAAACATTTTACACATAAACACTGTGCACAAATGTTCACGGCAGTATTATTCACAAAAGCTAAAAAGCAGAAAAACCCAAATATCTATACACCAAAGAATGATTATCCTAAATGTGGTATATTCATACAATGGAATATTACTGAACCATAAAAAGAAATAAAACACACACACTGTGACATGGATGAATGTAGAAAACATGCTAAATGAAAGAAGCCAGCCACGAAGGATTACAGACTGTATGATCCGTTCATACGCAGTGTCCGGAACAGGCAACTGCATGGAGACAGAATGCAGGCTAGTGGCTGCCAAGGGTGGGGGCGGGGGAGTGAGTCACTGCTAACAGGTATGCAGTTTCTTTCTGGGTTGTTCAAATGTTCTAAAATTAGACAGCAGTGATAGCTGTACCATTCTGTGACTAAACTAAAAACCACCAAACTAAACAATTTGTAAAAGGGTGGATGTTAGTATATGCGAATTATGTCTCAATGAAGCTTTCAAACAAAATAAGACAAAACAGTCCAGGTGAGATTGGCTGAAAAGTTCTGCATAAAGTAGAAGGTTAAATGTCAAATATCTTAGACGTGACAGAGAACCTGTGATATAGCGTGAGGTAAAATATCCTTCTCCAAATGTTTCGGAGACACTGGCTATTCTCTGAAGATCAAAAGTGACAGCAGCAGTAGGTTTTCTCCTAATGCTTGCACGGTCAGTCCTAAAACACGTTCTTTCTGCTGTGACAGGCACCATGGGAGAGCACTGGGGCCCCTGGGCACAGAGGCCCGGCTGCTTTGTTCGCCTGTGTCCTTGGCACCTAACACAGCACCTGGTGCTCCGCAGACGTGCAGCGGTACTTCCTGAATGCAAGCGTCACGTTCTCGCTGCAGACTGAGGTAGCAGTGGCCTGTGGCATTAACTGTGACCATAATACAAGTAAATCTTATAAACCTTGGAAAATATTCAGAACATTTGATCCTTTGGTTTTTAAAAAAGACAAATGATTTATTTCTCTTCCTGTTCCAAAGAAAAGGGAAAAGAAAGCATATTTTTGGCCATTTATTTGTACCCGAGCCTCACTTGATCTCATGAACTACTGTGGGTGTTCTGCGAGTGTGCAGAGTCTTTATGACTTAGAGGTAACCCTTAGGACATCTTGATACAGGTACTCAGCCTTCCCCCCCACCCTCCAGGAAACTACGGAACATTATCAGTGATCACTGAAATGGTGCTAACTCCTCATCAAAGCGGAAGGAATGATCGCATCTGAACTGCAGAATAACCACAAGAGGTAAAGAGCTAAAAGATGCTAAGTTTGTAAAGAAAGGCAATACCTCAATTTCTGGAGACAAAGGAAGAACAAGTAGAAACAAATTCAATTTTTTTATCCTCGAAAAAGCTAACGGATGAACTAAAATAGATGAACTGCTCCCAAGAATGAAAAAATTAAAACTCAAAAGAATACACCAACCTACACAGCCAGAGACAGAACTGTACACAGCCACAGAGGGGAGGCGGCTGTCGGCTAAGTAGCTGCTTCCGATGGGACCAGGATGCCCTGAACCAAGTGACAAGTGTGTTACTAACTAGAGGCCTCATTTTTTCCCCTAAGCTTTTACTCATCCAAGAGATAAGCATTTCAGTGAGTCTTCGAGAAAAATTTTCATTATCAACTAAAATCAGTGGTTTTTGGTGTTTTTAAGTTCTTTTCTGGTGAAGAGGTATTTGCTGGCTTTTATTAATAGGTGATTTTTCCATGCAATAAAAGTTGTGGGAAATGAGTTTGGAAGGCTCTGAAAATTCTAAACACTGTCCTGTTCATCTATCTTTAGGATAAAGTGATTAGTAAAATAAAAGAAGTGCACGACTTCTGTTTGGTGTTTTCAAATTCCCCTAGAGGAGCCCATCTGTAGGAAGCAGGTGTAAGATGCTGGAGAGAAAAAGCATGGAGACCAGGGAGGGGAGAGCAGCTCCTGTAAAAGTGTGCAGCAGAAAACAAGGAATCCCTGATTCACAAACAACTGTGATACCAGGACAGAAAAGAGCTGGGGAAGGAAGTCAGTGATTCAACACACAGATTAGCTTCCAAAAATAAAGAACAAAATATACACAGGAAAAGTCAAGCATCACTAAGTAAAAGTGGTGAGTGTGTTGTTGCCTTAGATCCTACACCAAGAAAACACCGAGAGTTCGCTTGCCTCTTGTCTCCCAAATCACAAGTTTAGAGAAGTATCTCCTCTATTTTAAATTAAGGATCAAAGAAACCCACCACTCCCAATCAAGGCAGAAGACCAACCAAGCAACCAACTCGCCTGGTTTGCACATCTGGTATAAAAGTGCTCTATTCGAAATGTCTGCTGTGCTCCTACCCACCTCTGGGTTCTTGAGGGTCATCTCAATGCTGGCGGCGGGCCCGAACCCCGTGAGGGACTTGATATGGATCTGTGTGGGCAGAGGGCGCCGGCACTGGCAGTACACCGAGAAGGCCATGGACTTCAAGTACTGAATGTAGAAAACTTGTTCGTCCTTCATTGTCTGCAGCATGTACTGGCAAGGCACGATCTGCACAAACACAAACAAAACCAGGAACTGGGATCGAATGCGCCAACAGGAAAGCTGGAGGACGAAATTCTTTGCCGAATTGAGGCAGGAAACTGTAGTCGTAAAATACACAAGGGGCGCCTGCCGGCTCAGTCAGCGGAGCTCTGACTCTTGACCTCAGGGTTGTGAGTTCGGGACCCATTTGTGTGTAGAGATCACTTAAAAACAAAATCTTAAAAATAAGATAAAAGAGGAACATCTGGATCACTCAATCGGTCAAGCATCGGTCCAACTCTTGATTTCAGCTCGGGTCATGATCTCATGGTTTTGTGGGTTTTGAGCCCCGTCTTGGGCTCTGCACTGACCTCATGGAGCCTGCTTAGGATTCCCTCTCTCTCTGCCCCTCCCCTGCTCATGCTCAGTCTCTCTCAAAATAAATACACTTTAAAAAATAAATAAAATAAAATATATAAATGCCAAACATGATACAACTCAGTCTGAATTCCGTAGATGACCTAAAACCCTCTGCTACGAAGGCTCACCAGCAATGGACGAAGAGGTGCTATCTCGGTGGTCAAGTCACAGTCCCTGTTCCCTTCTAGGGATAAAGTCTCAATTTATTATTGCCATGCTCCAAACTTTTACAATTTACTTTTTAATGTAGTTCTCCTTTCCGTCATACATACACATAGTGTGCATCATATCTTTGGAATTATTATCTAAGCATGAGAGACACAAACTTCACAACAATGAAAAACAATCTATCCTGTTAACTTTACTTTCAATATTTTAATTCCATAAGATGGCTTCAATGAAAGTGACAGTAAAACAAATCCCAAACACCTAAGGTATCATTTTTCACCGATTATCAAAATCTTATACAATTATTACACTATAAAGCTGGCAAGGCTGTAGTGAAAGAGGCACGCTTGTTCACTGCCAAAGGGAATGTAAATAAATGTAACGGTCCTGAAAGGAGTCTGGCGTTGTTTATCGGAATCTATGTATCTAAGAATTCACTTTAAGAAATGCCCTGAACTATGAAAAAGAGGTTACATATAAATATGTTTATTATAGCTTTATTTCTAATAGTGAAAAATAGAAACAAATTAAGTCTCTAACTGTACAGTAATACTTAAATATGGAGAATATGCAGTCATTACAAACGCTGCTTGTGAGAATTTTCAATAAGAGAGAAAAGCATTCAATATATGTTAAGTATAAAAGGACTAAAAATAATACTGAAAGTATGATCTCAATTTTGTAAACTAACATACACAAAGAGGGGCTAGAAATACACCAAAATGGTAATGGTGGCCTAATGTAAAGGTAGAATTATGAACAATTTTTTCCTTTAGGTACTTCCAATGAAAAAGAAACCACACACCTGTATTCGCTTTCATAAAAATAACAAAAGCTAAAAAGAAAGTTGCAGACAGTTCTTGCAGTTACCTGGAGAATGAAAGAACTTCTCATATGCTCAGGTAAATTATCCAGCATCTCTGTGTAGCAGCGCATCAAACTCAACAGCCAAAAGTTTCCAGAAGTGGAGTCTTCGTCTGCAGTGTAGGTGAAGGGGTCCACCATGTAAATGACAACGGCTGGCGGGTAGGCTTGGCTGTCTGCAGAGTCGGGCTCGGTGGGAATTCCTATCCTTTCCCTTTCTGTGACACTGCAGGGAGAGACACTTATGAGATGCACAAGGAAATATAAATTACACAAGCTACATCAATACCCGAGTACACTAACCCCGGACAATGCTTCCAGACTGACTGTAACATTACTATGTATCATGTCATCGCAAGGAAGGCAAACCAAGCCAGTTAGCACCAAGGCGGATGGAAAATGACAACATCCTACTCCTGTGAGTGGGAGATCTCTTCTTCAACTCCCTCTCTTTCCTGGGGCCACATTCTAAAAAGATGTTTTATAATACTATTATTGTGAGTGGTAATAGCTTACTGATTCTATGTTATGTTCATATAATAATACTGATAGCAGTATTAACAGTATCAGCTTACTACGAAGCTAATAAGCTTAATAATAGTAAGTTTATATGAAGTCCTGAATGTCTTAACACGGGAGCTACAGACTGACAGTCACAACCTCCTTCTGGGAAGGAGAGAAACAGGGCACCTCACGAGACTCAGACACTCGGGAGGGTGAGGAGGAGAGTGGGGTGCAGAAGAGCGGGGAAGGGGTCGGAGCTGAAGCCACGCGCCGCCAACTGGCGAGCAGCGTACCTTTCTTGTCCGTCCTGCGAGGGCTGAGAGGAGCTCTGCCCAGGCTCCGGGTCCCCGCCACAGCCTACGTTCCCTTGCGTTCTCTCTGCAGAACTGGCCCCGGTGCTGGGGTTCTGCCCTCCGACACTAGCACTGAATCCTGAAGAAGAGGTAGTGCTGATCTGGTTAACGACAGGAGCAGGGGCGGACGCGGAGGCGGGCGGCACAGAGGACCCGGGGGCCGGGCCGCCTGCCGCAGGGTTCCCGGAACTGCTGCCAGAGGTGGGATTGAATGCACTGCCAGCCGAGGGCGCTGCTGATCCTGAATTTGAAGCGAGAGGCCCAGCGGTCCCGGGTGTAGCTTGTGCCTGTGCTGCTGCTGGTGGGGACTGGTACTTAGGTGGCGTCAACAGGCTGCTATCGAGCTGCAGAGTGGCTAGATAAGGTGCTGAAAGAGTACATGAGAGAGGTGGCGTCAGCAACGTTCGGCAGCATCACACTGAATCAGAAAGTAGAATTGTCACTTTAAGAAAATTACGTTTTCAGGCTGCAGTGCTCTGACTATGACGCCCGAGATGCTATCTCCACGCTTGAACAGAGGCCTGTGTGCTCTGCAAACGTGGTGGTGAACCAGGGGCTATGTGTGCTCGTTCTGGGGAAGAGGCTTATTTGAAAACAGAGAAAATGAATCACTTGTAAAATGTGCCTTTCAGACTGAATCTGCCTGCGTGCCTTCACTGCCAACAGGGAGGCTGCCCATCCCACAGCCGGCGGGGGGGGGGGGGGGGGGGCGGGGTGCCAGGCGCCTGCGCGCGGTGGCTTTAAAGCTTCCAGGACTCTCTTGGGAAGCAGGCTGAACTTCAGCAGTTAATACCAAGTCCTGCTGCCGAGTTTTCAAAATGTGGAGTAAATCAGATATGACTTCTATAGGCAACTTCAAACTGCTTTTAGAGAATGTAGTGCACATATGGGGCGCCTGGGTGGCTCAGTTGGTTAAGGGTCTGACTTCAGGGGCGCCTGGGTGGCTCAGTCGTTTGAATGTCCGACTTCGGCTCAGGTTATGATCTCACAGTTCGTGAGTTAGAGCACCACGTCGGGCTCTGTGCTGACAGCTCAGAGACTGGAGCCTCCTTCGGATTCTGTGTCTACCTCTTTCTCTGCCCCTCCCCTGCTCACACTCTGTCTCTCTCTGTCTCTCAAACCTAAATGAATGTTCAAAAAAAAAAAAAATGTTGTGCACATAAAATTGAGCATTTAAGGACCCAGAATGCAGAAATTAGACCCAAATAAATACAGTAATGGAGCCCTAAAGCTACCTGAGGTAAAAGCAGCAGGGCACACTGCTTTCCAAAAGGTGGCAATCTGCTATTTTACTTCTCAGATTCTCCTTTCCCAAATAAATTCTCGTTTACCTAGGTGATGGCGGCAAACTTGCGCATAAAGTTTGAGTCTGGAATGATTGTCATTCTCCTCACTGCCCCAAGGCTGGTTAAACCACTCGCTCACAAGCTCATCCGTCAGCTTCTGTGCCACAGTCTTCCCCACGCGCATGATCCCATCTCGGAGCACTTTGCAGATGGGCTTGTGCTGCCCAAGCCGACACATCTGGACCACAAACGACACCGTTACTTACAACAGGAAGCATTCCTGTGCTTAGAGGGGGAAATTCTTCACCATACACACGGAAGTATTGTGCGTTTTCTTTTCGCGTTACCACAAGCAACCAAAGCCACATTCTAAGCCGGTCCTTTCTGCTCATTCTAATGAATGTATGCTGAGACTCCTAGCTGTCTCTCCAAAACCTGGACCAGCCTCTCTCAAGAAAAACAAAGATTTCTTCACCTCAGCCACTTCCTCCCGTGCTAGGGAAGACTGCTGAGTATTACCTGATTGCTAATAGTCAAGTAAAGAATTAACCAGATTCCTGCCTACTAAGGCTGACTGAGACACATATGTCCGCTAAAACCTCTTAAGTAATCCCTACTCATAATGTTTTCCCATAAGATAACATTAAAATTTTATGGGCCATCTGTTACACTGTCACAGACATTTGGGGATCACCAATAGCAGAGGCCACTGAAGCAGTGGATATGCTGATCACTTTTTAAAAGTAAATAGTTGTTTTAAGCACAATGAGATTCTGCTATTAATTTCTAGGACATTAAATGGGCACTTACAGCAAAGACTTAATATAACACACCTGCAAAAAGTAAGCTTCTTAACCATCTATTCCCCAAAAGGAGAGCCCATTTTATCCCTTGTTAAAGCTGATAACTATAGGCTTACTCAGCCCCTACAAAATCTTCTGCATACACTCTCTTCACCAGGGATGCACTACTGCCAAATAAGCAATCCTAATAGTCCCTGGGACCTAAAAAGATCCGTTTTGTAACTTATGTTGAAAGCTTCATTCAAGAGAATGGCTGGGCTTTTAAAAAATTGCTTACACAAGTTTTCTGTGTTACGGTCTTTATGATTCAGTGTTATGACACATCCATGGATCAGGTACGTGTAGAATTACTATATCTAAGGGTTTCCTTCAGGGGCCTAACTGATGCCATTACCTCATGCATCTCCTCACTTCTTTGTAGCAATACAGAAGTTCACTATTTCATGTGTACCCACCCACTTCTAAATAGCGAATGTTCTGTTATGACATATTTTGAAATTCAACTTGGCATCTTATTTAACAAACACCCTTGTAATGTTTATAATATGCCTGTCACAGTTCTCCCTAAATACGGATTTCATTTAATCCTGCCCAAAATGAAGACATTAGAAGTATAGGTACGAAGAATTTAGTGTACGTATACTTTGGCCAAAACAAATGTGGAACATACTCTTCAGAGATACACATGATTCTAATTTTTCAAAAGCAATAGTATATTACGTGATAAATATATAAAACTATCTACCTGGCTTTTAAATTATTATGGTTATTACATTATTAACCTGTAGCCTGTATCAAAATTTTAGTATTAAGATGAATGTAGTGTTAAATACACAACAGGGACATGATTCATTAAACTCATCTTTTGATACAGAAATCTTCAAGCTAAACATTTTTATACTGTTTTCAGGATGCTCTCTACCCCCCCGCCCCCAAAAGATGTGCTTTCTTTTTTTAAAGCCATCTTCCGAACAGCCAGAACACACCCTGGTAAGCAACACTTTTAAACTCAAGCACACAAATGAGGAAAAAACAGCTGACAGAATTGTAAGTTGCATGGTAAGGCTGGTAGAGCAAAGTCTTCTGAACCTAACAAGAGAAAAGCAATTTACTTCCAGGAAAACTTGCCAATTTAATTCTTGCCTCCATCCTCCAACTATCTGCAAATTTTCTTTGAGACCTACTTTGAAGATACTTGTTCTTTAAAATTCAGTGGGAGCTAGAAACAATGTGAGGACTCATGTCACAACAGTGATTTTCAGGTCATTCTCACCTCATATACAGCGCTCAAGTCCCTGAAAAAAGTTTTGGCTCCTTCGAGCAAGGCCTCGTTTTCTGGACACACCACAATATAGGCAACATCACGGTGGCCCCCGTACGGGTCCAACAGCAGCCTCTCCCAAAATGGTAAGGAGAACGGCGAGATGGTGAGGAAGTCCTTGTCATAGCCTACCAGCAGAGTGGGGATGGGCAACGGCTCAGGGGACTCCTCCGAACCTGTAACGACAGTGTAGTTTAGAAGGTGCTGAAGTTTTCCGCAACTGGGACAACACAGAAGGTCCTTGCTGGCATCAGAAGTTTCCTTGCAGGTTCACTGGATAACGCTCACAAGTATTCTTCAAATCCTCTAATTACATGGCCCCTGACAAAGGACCTGATTCAGAAGAGTCAGAACATGCTTATAAGGGTTCAGGGGGATCGGAGGGCAGACTAGAGCGAGTTTAGTTCCCCAAGCAGCACTACATCACTTGCTTTAAGCATGATAATCCCGACTATGAAGAAGCGGATAGGACTCGCTCGGAAGTTCACCCAGATGAAAGTACAATGAGGATCAGGAAGATGGGGACGATCTAAGGAATATGCTCTTTACGGATTACTTTCCTCATTGCCCTTGATTCGGCCAAGGGTGCTTAGAAAACTTAACTCCAAGCTGACTTTAGGAAAGAAACGAGATTACCAAGCTTAACAGCCGTGTAAAAGAAGAAGCTGTTTTGTCAGCGAGGCGGGGCCTGGCAGGAGCGGACACGGCCTCTGGAGGAATGTAAGCAGGAAGACACTCTACCGTAGGTGCCCCGGCCTGCCATCTTGTGGAACTGCTGCCAGGTGAGCGGTCCCTGCACGTGCTGGATGTTCTCCCAGGTCCTGCCTGTGCGCTTCTTCTGGATGGCGTCCTGGAGGAAGGGCTGCAGAGACAGCAGCACACGCACCACGTCCTGGGAGGAGAGCATGCTGATGTCCAGCACTGCGAGAGAGAGCACGCGGAGAGGAACAGAAATCATAAAGCGGGACTGGCACTGTCCTCTTTCCTACGGTAATTCTGGACCTGAGCCACAGCCCACGACAGAGAGGCCACTGCTGGCAGATTCTATTTTTACTATTTTTAGTGGATTCTCAAGTGCTTGACTTACCAGGCAACAGCAAGGGTACTTTATTATTATAAAGTAATTTATATTTATTACTGGAAATAATAAAAGGAGAAATACATTACTCTACATTAAAGAGGTTAACTCAGAACTGCTTTGAAGTAAAAAGATGGACAGGCCTGCTCTTTCAAATCATACGATCCTGTTTCCAAGGTCACATAAGAAACTCTACAAAAGGTTCTTAATTATTGTCCTACTTTTATTTACAAATGCCAATGTCTTGGAATTGTTAAGTGCAGGGAAAAACATAAACAGAAGCTTTTAAAAACTGTTAAAAAATGCTGCTACGGTAAAATACTTTCACAAAACACCGAGTGCACAAGAGAATGGCGGCCTTGCACGTGGTCAGAGGCACAGGGAGCCGTGGCGAAGGCCAGGCCAGGACGAGAGGCCGTCCGTCCAGACGAGGGTGGGACTCAGGGCTTCAGAACAAACATTCCTCCTACTAGGAGGACGGGCTCTTAATGGGGAATCTGAGAAACCTCTCAAACTCCATGTAAAACGGTGCCTGCACGTACATATGCGTGTACTCTTTCCCAGGCAGGAAGGGCTGTCACACTCATCAAATTCTCAGAAGGATCCGATGAAAGAGCTCATCAAGTCTGAGGGGACCAGCTATGAACCCGCACAGCCGCTTACCCAACACCTTTCCCTCTGTGTCCTTTTCTAGCTGATCAGGAGAGGGGCACAGACGGAAATCTCAGATTCACCTACCAACGAAATCTGAAACACACAGTGCTTACGACATTTCTAGGTGTATCCCCTAAATCGAACACAAGCGGCAGACCTAAATTTCCAACACCTCCTGAAGAGCCGGGAGGCCCGGGGAGCGTGGGCTCAGAGCCACCTCCCTGCGCACACAGCCGTGCCGGAGCGGGCGTGCAGCCGTCCCCTGCCCCCGGCTCTGCTCGCTCTCACTCCGCTCGCTCGGCCCTGCTGCTTGCCTGACAATGAAGCGGTGGTAATCGCCTTCACCTTCGAGCCTGTGCTGCTTTTTTTTACTTATAGTAAAGAAAAAAGTACTTCTCGTACCCACGGCTCTATCAAAAGCTGGAAAATGACAGAGCGAGAAGACCACAGGTTAGAGAAAACTAAAAAGCAGACATACTTCTTAGGGGCTATTCCTGGGCACACAGAACGGCAAGTGTACCGTGAGACACAATTGAGGGCACTGCTGTTCGCAGACCCGGCTCCCGCACCGTGCATTTGCATCGGCTGTCTGGGACTTGAAAGCTTCTGACTTTGGAGCCCACACCTCCCCTGCAATCAAATCTGCTATTTTTCATAGCCAAAGATGACAGTACTGATCCACCCACAGAATGCTTTTCTGTCTGAGGGCTACTATCTAGTAAAAGGAACCACCCAAGATAATCACCCACATTTCTTTAGGGGAAAGACTGTATTTTTTTTAATTCATAAATTCATCTCACAGACATTAATTAAAGGCCTGCTAAGTATAAGGCACTGAGCTCAAACCTGAGCAGTTACAGAAATGAGTGCCACCCTTGAGTACTTCCTGGGGAGTCTCCATCTACAAGAACTGCCTTGCTTGGCTACTCAGAAAATGCCTATCGCCCCTACTCCACTGATCTCTATCCTCGAGCCATGGTTTTACTCCAGATTTCAAACTGTATTTGAAAAGATTATACAACCTTCTCCCCTACAAGGCTGAGAGCTGCTCAGGACAGGGTCTGTGTTTCATTCACATAACCGACCGATCCGGCCTGACTGTTCCCACCCCTCTACAGAGCAGCCCTCACCACGGTCAAAAGACAGGTTTAAACCTCATCTTAAAAGCTCAGCAGTGCTTTAATGCTTATTGACCACCCGCTCTTTCTTGAACTCGGTTACATAGAGCGATTCAGTAAAGCTCTGTCCCAAGCCCTCTTGTGGGTCTAGTTTTGCCCACCTCCTCAGTAAGCGTCCCTCCTCCTCTGTGCTTCTGACTTGAGCTCCCACCTACAAGCCAACCACTCCCTTCCCCCTGAGCCGCAGGCCCATGAAAGTCCCAAGTGTCTACTTAACATCTCTACCTGGCTCTCTCAGAAGGGACCTTTAAAATCACCACAACTCAGCTCAGGGGCTTTCTCCCCAGACCAGGTCTTCCTCCAGTACCCCTATCTTTGAATGACATCACTATCCGCCTGGGTAAATGCATCACAAACCCGGGTGTCTTCTTGTTCTCCCTGAGCCCCAAGTCCAACCCAACTGCCAAGTCGTGCCGTCCCACCACTTCCTTAGCGTCTCCCGGGTGTTTCCACTTCTCTTCCATCTCCTTTGCTAAGACATGAGACCAAGCTATTACTTCTTACATGAGCCACTGCACTAAACCCAGACTTTCTCCACCGCTCCTGCCATTTCCAAATCCACAGCCTGCACTGCAGAGAGTATTGTTTCAGTTTTTAGAAATTTTTTAAAATTTATTTTTGAGACAGAGAGAGCAAGTGAGTGAGCAGGGGAGGGGCACAGAGAGAGGGAGACACAGAATGTGAAGCAGGCTCCAGGCTCTGAGCTGGCAGCACAGAGCCCGGCACAGGGCTCGAATTTGTGAACTGCGAGACCATGACCTGAGCCGAAGTTGGCCGCTCAACTGTCCCTGAGAGTCTGTGTTTATGAACTACACAAATCTGATCTCCATGCCTCTTCATAAACCCGTCAATGACTTGTTTGGGCTCTAGGGATAAAGACCTCAGCCCCAGCAGGTCTCAAAACGTTCTTGGAAATCTAGCCAGCTGCAGGCTTCCTTCAGCTCTGTGAAAGCCCCAAGCTCTCTCTCTCTCTATAAACTCCGGGTCTTCATTCTTGCTCCTTCTGCCTGGGACACAGCTCCTTGCTCTCCACCCTCTTTATCCAGGTTAATCGGTACTCAGTATTGAAATCTCTGATGTATCTACTTCTTCAAGGAGGTCTGCCCTGACCCCTCCCCAGTCTAGGGAGGCTCCCCTACCCCATGCTTTCATTGCTTATAATGGTTTCTTTTTTTTTTTTATTTCTAGGAGAGAGAGAGAGACAGCATGAGCAGGGGAGGGTCAGAGAGAGGGAGTCACAGACTGAAACAGGCTCCAGGCTCTGAGCTGGCAGTCAGCACAGAGCCCGACGCGGGGCTCGAACCCACGAACCGCGAGATCATGACCTAAGCGAAAGTCGGACGCTTAACCGACTAAGCCACCCAGGCGCCCCATAATGGTTTCTAATAGTATGCTGATTTGTGTAATTATTTGATTAATGTACATCTTCTAGAATAGATCAGAAAGTCCCTCAGAGAGGTACCTTGTCTTTTTCAGTCACTTTATCTCCCAGGATGCAGCACAGTGTAGTGAACAAATAAAGGATGGGAATGGCAAGTTCCCTGGCATGCTTAGAGCTCATGAGCACAGCTATTTGTCAACTGGAGCTTTCAATCATAGAAGAGCCAGTGACATGCCTCGGGAACCACAACACAAAGTAAACCGTGATCACTGTTATAAGATACAAAACGCTGGAAAACCAGACGAAGGAAAAAGCTCTCTGTAAATGGGCAGAAGGCTTCATTGAGGAAGTACCATGGAAAAACTGATCTAGAAGAATGGGTGGATTTCTACACGAAAGGGTGGGCAAACTATTAGCCTGTATAGTCTCAATAGCTCGGACACTTGGCAGTCACTGGTTTCCAGTACCAATGGCCCACAGGAATTAACATGAGAGGAAGTTTTCAAAAAATAATTCCTCTGCTCAAAAGGTGTCTCATCTCAGTATAAGCATTTCTCCTGTCCTCATATTTAGGACAATGATCAGCAGAGCTCTCACTGTAGTTCCTTTTAAGAAATGAAATTAAAACTTCTGTCCTAGGACAGAGAAAGCCTGTAATTCACCAGCATACAGAGAAAACCTGCAGAGGAAACATGTGCTCCGGGACACCTACCATTGCTGTGAGGCCAGGAGTGCACGGTGGCACTTCTCACCAGCGCTTCATCTACCTTCCCACCCGTGGGATTATCCACGTACTGTCGGCCCTGCTCCAAGGCATTAAAGCATTCCGTCCAATAATCGTTATTATCAGCCTGCACCCGGTCGTAACTCCAGCTTACACAGGGAAGAGTCTGGCGACTGTTGGAGGAAATGTAGTCCAAGAAACTCAGTGAAGCAAAAGGTTGCGTATGCTGACTCTGGAGGAGGAGGAGAAGGCTCACGGGTGGCTCCTGGGACTTTCTGGCCCCCTCCATCTGAGGGAGGAAGGTAGTCTGACACATCATCAAGCGCCTCTCTGCAGCCTGGCCAATATCAGAATTCTTCCCAAAGATATCCAACTCATCTTCCAGGAAGAGCCCCGAATTGTAGCCAAGTTTGCGATTCATAATCGCACTAAACCCACAGGTACAGCGATACTGGTCCTCGTTGGAAGAGTCGGGGATGTAGAGCCCAACATCCGCCCCTTTGATATTCATGTTGCAGGCACAGATGCAACAGCTGTCAAAGTTTCTGTCTTTAAAGATGTTCATCACGGAGTCGGAGAGGATCAGGGTGACGTAGAGACTGTGGGCTTCAGGAATGGGCTGCATGGTGGCAGGCTCCACAGAGTTAAGGGGCCGCGTGGTGGACGGGGTAGAGGCAGGTGACCCCTGATCGGTGCTGTCATATTTAACCGACCCCTGACCACTGGCAGTGCCCCCACCTCTGGGAGTTCTTGGGGTCCTGGGGGTCCGTGGTGTGGGGACAGAGAAGCGAGGGGTTGCTGGAGATGGCAAAACTCCTGCTCCGCTGTTGCTGGCTGGGGCAGCGCTGTTCAGCGTCACCGGCGTGTTCATCTGGGGAGTATTCAGGTAGTCTGGGTCTGCAAGGCTCCCAACACTAGGCACGTTGCTGCAACAGAGAAGGCCGAGTGAGAATGCACGCATGTCACACACGCCAGGGCTCTCGCGGTCGCCCCGTCCGTCCGCGCCGCTGGGCCGCAAATACCCCTGGGTGTACTCAAGTGTTTCTTAAAAGAACTAAAAGGACTCAAAGAAGTCAGTGAAGCATATGGGAGAGCAAGCAGCAAGGTACAGAGTATCATACACCATAGTATCTTCCTTCTGCTTATTCCACATCTACACAATCTTCATGTTAATCTTTCAAAGTTTCAACTTCACTACTTTTAGAAGAAAACATGGTGTTGAGTTTGGTCAATGTAGTTTTGAAAAACTGTAACTACTAAGTGGAACATGAACACGTGAGTTCAGATGCTAAATTAGCCAGAAGACCAGAGGATAAAATTTCCATCTAACTGACAATTACATTTTTGTTATTTATTGAAAGTGAAAGTCTGCCATCGTACTTGTTCTCTAAGGTGATGATCATACAGATCTACCTATAGGAGGCACACACAAAAACGTATCATTCTTCTATGTTGAAAATACAGTCCTATCTAGGCCTGTGCTTTTATAATAATGAGTGACCATGAGGGAATCCAATTGTAGGAAAGCCACTGGCCAGGACTACACTACAATAAATACAAATACCACATATGTAGCTGGGAGGCCTTAAGACTAATTAGGTAAGTTACAAGTACACATGCTATACGACAGCTTCCAAACTTCTACCAGATTTCTGTGGAGTGCTACGCAAGTTTAGTTCATTTTTAATTTTTCAATATGCTATGCATTACTGATAGCACAATTACTTTTAGTTCCCAGAGACTGACAGAACTGTGTTATCTATTTTTCCAGAAGCAACGACTTCTTTCTGGAATAGCCACATAGAGCATAAAACCTTGTCTGGGACGTTCTGCGGTTTCATTATGTAAAAAAGTCTTCTGACAGACCCTCTTAGCTGTACATGTAAAACAGCACATGAGACCCTTCTTTCCTATTAGAAGGTATCAAAAGAATACAGATTTCATTTGATATTTATTCTTTTGAAATCTATTAATACTGTGTTTAAACTAATGTTCTTCCAATAAACTACATATTCATTCAAGTACAATTTGAAAGAAGAATGTCATAAAGCAATGACTCTTCAAATAATTTTCTTGTGATTTTTAATTAGCTACCTAAACTACCAGCCTAAAAAAATCTAAATCAAGCACTATAAAGAAATGGTAAATCTGAGGCACAGTGGTATCTCTGAGAACAGATTAAAAAAAGACCCAGAAACCTTGATTAGCAATCACTGCTATCTCAGAGACCAAAATAATAAGTGTGTAATAAAGATCTTCACTCTAATTGGACTCCTTTCATATTTTCTATCCGACAAAACTCTAGAATTACTATGCAGCTCAGATGAGAAAAGGAACTATGTCTCCTGACTGAAAAACCCAAATAATGAAACTGCTCCCTAGGTAGTAAGAATGGTTTAGCTTGCATAGTACCCTGATTTTTCACCATTCGATACAAATGAACTGAGGACCAACACTACGCTAGAGGCTGGGGGTTCAACAGTAAAAAGGCGGAAGAAAAGTCAGCTCGCAGCCAGGAAGTCAGGGGTGAAGCACGGGAGCGCTGCTGTGCTGAGCGTGGCGGAGCGGCAGCCAGGGTGAGGCAGGCCCCAGCAGGAGGAGGTAGGTCACACACTCTAGAACTGTGCCGGCCAATGAGGCTGCTGCTAGTCCTATGTGCTAAATTTAAATCAACTTAGATAAAACTAAAAATTCAGTCTTGGTCTTAACTAGCCACATTTCAAGAGGTTCAAGCTATAGCACCGGGGCAGGGGAGGCCATGTTGGAAGGTCCAGACACAGAACACTTCCATCATCAGAGTTCATAACAGGGCCAGCTGAGAATACCAAGGGTCCCTGGGATGGCAAGTGACAGACCGAGCAGACTCAGCAGTCACCTGATTATTTACTGTTTAAGCTATCATACAGCAACAGGTTGCATTTCCTGTTTTTGAGGAGCCTCCGTGTGTAAGAGATTCATCTGTCAAAGGGGTCCGTGGAGCAGCCGCACTGCTGAGAGGGGCGTGGCAAGGCGCATGGGCGCGCGGGCTCTACTTCAATAAGCTCCAGTGCAGGAGCAGGGCAGCAGGGAGCGCGCCAGGGGTCGGCAGCAGGGTGCCCGCCAGCCCGCTCTTTCACACCGCGGGTGAGTTGTTATTGCCGCAATACTTCCACAATCGTTAGCTGCTGGAGACTTTCACACCTCTTGTGTGGGAGGAAGGGCAGGATTACACCATTTTAAAGAAGGGAAGACTCAGGTAAGATGGTCATTTAAGGTCACGGACAGGACTAAACAAAAAAGGCAGGAATGGAGTTCCGTGTCAGCGCAGGACAGGGTCACAGCACAGTGTCAGACTCCCCAGGTCTGGGTCCTTTCATCCTACACTTGCGTCGGTTTTTCATTCCGATGCTGACTTCACACACGTGAGCATAAAGCCTGTTTATGACACCAAAGCTGGTTTCATCAAGATGCTTTCATCTGACGGCACAGATACAGCCCACAGACTCGACCTGGAATTTGTCTTAAAACGTAACTCTGAATTAACCGCCCACATTCGTGGGAAGGAGAGCAGACAAACACGGCCGGACTACGCGCTGTAAGCACACGGCACACAGCCCCTTCATCGAGGCCTTCTCCCAGCAGGCCCGTCACGGACCCTACGCGCTCCTACAGTCCCGCTGGAGGACGCTGGCCATCAGCGCTGCCAAGTCGTTTGCTTTACCCGATCCGTGCCATCCATGCATTGCTTACCTGGTCCTGACAGAAATTCGAGTTTGTGGCCTTCTATTTTATACCATGTACTTCAAAAGAAATTATCAATCATAGGGGAAACGTATTCTACACTGTTGCTATTAAGTACTGTTTTTAGACAGAGTGAAATGTGCCCAAGCTACCCTCCTCTTCCTTCCTCTCATCATGACGCCCCTGGTGCTGCTTTCTTATATGACGTGGAGTCAGCAGAGAAAGTCTCCATGTCACCACTTCATTTTAAAGCACCTCAAGTGAACACATTTGGAATCATCAACTCATAAACCAAGTACTCACCACTACTATCCCAAAACTGGTAATATTTTCAAATGCTATAGTTTTTAAATAAATAATATATTTTAAGCTCCAATCTAGTGTCTGATTCTGTGGTAGACAGTGACTTGATATGGAATGAGATCAAACACCATGGGTCTCTATACAGATAATCTTAATTTATCTGCATACAGAAAATTTCATTCAGAAGACGTGCACAGTTTCGATACTCAACAATATGCACAAGACCACGAATGGGCCACAGAAGGAAAGTTTTAGATGCTACGGAATGTCAGCACTGTAGTAGTACTCAGTTAAGCTCAAAGCCCCATGAACGTGTCCAGGAGCCACCGTGGACCCGGCACGTACTTGTAGCCGTCTCGACTGAAAATGGCTGCAGGCGGCACAGGCAGCTGTTCGATTTTAGGAGGTGCCGCCCACGAAGGCCGGAACAGACAGGCGTCGGGGACCTTCAGAGGCAGCAGGCACTGGCTCGGCAGCATCTTCAGCGGAGCGAACATGGAGGAGCCCACAAAAGGTTGAAAAGTTGGAACTTTGTGCACGTATGAAAAGTCCTGTGACAACAAGAGAGGGCCAGTGATCGTGTCGGTGAACAACTTAGGACACAGCACAACAGTAACGATGATCATTAGAATTCGTATTTCTCTCGTTTCATCGGCAGAACATGCTAATGCCCAAATTTTAAATTACTCAAGACACTGTAACTAGCGTACACAGCAAAGTACCTCACGACCCGTCTCAGAGGACTCTTAGACACTCCGGTATCTATGACGTGGACATAACACTGCCTTGAAGATGTGTATGAATCTGCCAGAAAACTGCCCTGCCTTGGTAAAATTAATATATCGGCCATTACCTTTACTTCCTCTGGCTTGGGACTTCCTAGTCCATCTTCTACTTCCATCTTGAATTCAGTGAGCTGTGCTGACACCATACTGACCATAGGACTCTCTGTCATGCCTAATGCCGTCACTGTCTCTGAGCTGATGCCATCTTTATAATTCATCACAGGAGAAAATGCCGGGTGCTGTTCCAAAGAAGGAGGGGTGGGGAACATCCTTTGCAAGTCTGCAACTGCTAAGGAAGGCAGGACAGAAGGGAGGGAGGGAAAGAGGGGAAGGAAGGGAGGGAGGGAGGGAAGTTGGGAGGGGTAAAGAGAGAGAGAGAAAAAGAAGGAAAAAAACAATAGTATTTATTTTAACAGGTAGGACTTCTAAAACATCCCAGTTCACAGGCAGGCAGCCTACAAGCATCAGAAATAATGCTAACTGAATGGCTTTATCAGTTACACAACAGAATACTAATAATGGAAGCTTCCAGGAAGAAGGCCATCACCAGAAAACTACCCTTTTCTGGAACTTTACCACTACACCCCTGATGCTTTATGATTTGACTCCACATTAATTAGGTGGACAAAGTCTACATAGCATACATTTTTCTCCTAACAAATGATTGCCTGAAAAGTGTAAGGAGATGAAATAAGTAGAAGCTGGAAGAAATGAGATGGAATGACTTTATTAAAAGTTCTATCTCTGCTTACAAATATGTATGCCATATTTCAGAATTACATTAAAAATGTCACATAGCAAATTTTACATGGAAAACTCATCAGGCACTTGTACTACAGAAAATAAAAACACAGAGCTGGAAGGGCAGTTTAGATGTAGCAAAATTACTTAGCTAGTTTGAAAACTCCACCACACTCCCTCTCTTTGGGGGAAATGGTTCCACACTCTCTTTCCCTATTGACATTAAGATGAAACTTCACAGTTAGGTTTAATAATCCTACCTAGACCCAAAACTTTTATTAAAAATCAACTGGTTTAAAAAAAAATTATCTTTTAAGAAATAGTTAGAACAGTGACTCTCAATCCTTTTTTTAGAAAGCATTTTCAGGGGCGCCTGGGTTGCTCAGTCGGTTAAGTATCCGACTTTGGCTCAGGTCATAATCACATGGTTCGTGGGTTCAAGCCCCGTGTCAGGCTCTGTGCTATCAGCTAGCTCAGACCCTGGAGACTGCTTCAGATTCTGTATCTCCCCCTCTCTCTCAGAAATAAATAAAACATAAAAAAAAAAGAAAGAAAGAAAGCATTTTCATATACCTGAGGCTAGCCACCATCATGAACAGGGGCTCCTTAAGGCACTGACTGACCCTTGAAAGCAGAAGCATCTGTAATGCGATGCCAGTTGTGGTTGTGAGATTTGGCCACTAGGGGGTGTCCTGTACAGCAAATTTATTTACAAATTTGGAGCCTTGAATTTAAATCACTGTTTTGGAATGCTACCTGATGTCCTAATTTCCCACCAGACTGCTCTTTCTAGCAACATCAACATTTACAGGGCTTAAAAAAATTTTTTTTGGTGTTTATTTATTGAGAGAGAGAGGGCACAAGCAGGGGAGGGGCAGAGAGAAAAAGAGAGAGAATCTCAAGCAGGCTCCATGCTGTCAGCACAGGGCCCGATGTGGGGCTTGAACTCAGGAACTGTGAGATCATAACCTGAGCTGAAACCAAGAGTAAGACGCTTAACCAGCTAAGTCGCCCCGGTGCCCCAAGTGCCTACAATATTTAAAGAGGCAAATGGCAACCACTGCATGGACTGAGACAAGACTTGTAGAACACCGCATGGTGCTCTGGCCCGGCCTGGAGGCTGAGGCGGGGCAGAGGGTGGCAGGCCCAGAAGCGCTTCCACAGTCCCGGTGCTCACAGCGCAGCACTGCCACAGTCAGGTCAGGTCACTTCCTCCCGCAGGCCTCAGAACCTCCATCTACACGGCTGGACTAGACGTGGGAGTCTCACCAGGCTTGCCTGCCTCCCTCTGCTTCCGGAGGACAGGGGGAAGCTTCTGCCATATGGAGGCAGGAAAAAGGTGAGATGCTCTTCCGCACCAGATGCTCTTCACCATGCTTTCTAGTTAAGCAATGATACAGTCCTGATTAAGGCTTTAGGTGCTGATCTATATAAAACAAGGGAAGGAGGAGGCCAGCAGATCTCTTCCTTCAGATCCCAACTTTCACTCTCTTTATTTATTTACACTTCTATGTCCTATAATAGGATTCTGTATAAGATTTCATTTGTACAAAATGATACCTGCTGCTGTCAAGAAAGAAAAAGAAAAAAAAAAAAAAAGAAAGGGAGAAAAGAAAAAAACTAACACTTGCCCCCACCCAAGTAGATCTTCAAGGCACCTTCTTGCTAGGACAGTATTTTACCCTTAAGGAATGGGACAACTCAGAGGTCTAAGGATACAAGCCAAGCCAGAAGATCCCTGAGAACCACTGGAGTCTGAGAAGGAAAAATAGGTCTTCAAATGTAGCAGCAACCAGATCAATAGTCTTCCTTGAAACAAGACTGAAGACTTTAACACTGAGTTAGGTTACACTTGAAATACATCCATCACCTTTATCTTTTAGTCCCTACACATTTTCCCAAGTCAAAGAGCAGCGACTAGTCAATTTAATATAAAATTAATGCTTATGTATAACATTTTAAACTCTTAAGTCGGCTTCATAAAAGCTTTAAGCCCCTATTACAGATCTTAATCAGCAAGCAAATATTTGGAAAATAAACTGTACAAATTCTCTTTGTGTTGAAATGACAATGAACTTAAAGCCTCTTCTTCACTTACAAGTATTCTGGCAACGGCATAAAATTTTACCAAAATTTATTTTATTAAATTAGTGTCTAAATGTTCTCTAGGAAATGAAATAAAGGCATTTCTCACTTGGGAAAGTGTCACGTGGGGACACTCAAATTCTTTGATGCTACCTAACGAAGCTGTATATGTCAATTTTCAAAAGCTCAGGAACTTGACATTTCTTAACAAAGGTAAAAAGAACACACACACAAAAGTATGGAAATGAGATTCCACTTGCCAGAGAGTCACTTTAGACAGTGGCCTTCACCATTCTTATTATCAAATATACTTTTAAAGATTTAATTTTAAGTAATCTCTACACCCAACATGGGGCTCTGAACTCACAATCAAGAGTCACACACACTCCACTGACCGAGCCAGCCAGGAAGCCCTGTTGTCAGATATTTTTAAGGAAGACTCACAGGCTCTCTAGCTTCAAGTTCCTTATCTGTGAAATGGCAATAATATCTGCCTTCATATTTTTTTCTATACGTTAAATAACATAATGTATGCACAGAAGTCAATAATTTGCCACAAAACACGGAAACATTCAGTAAGTGATGAAGTGAGTAATGATTAGTCCACACTTCCAATTTTTGTTTGGAAAAAGATAAAAATGCTGTTAAGTTACAAGGAATTTCGATATGACCATAAACAAGTTTTAAGGTGAAAAAACAAACTGCACTCAACGTGGGTAAGATAGGGAGGAGACCGAAACCAGAGAAACACGCTGTCCTCCAAGAGAGAGACGCCCCTCCAGGGCCTGCCTCTTGGATTTTCCTCCTAAAAACGCTAAAGCAAGAGCGGGAACAGCTGCCAGAATGGACTGGAGACAGGGCTGCTGTAACACAGTACCGCCTTCACACAGGCCTGCCGCCACGCTGACCCGTTATTACTGCGTGCTTTCTTCCTTAGTAAATCATGACATACACAGATGAAGAGCTGTGGGCCTATTCTGGCCAAGCCCGCACCCATTACCGCCCGCGGCTCCAGAGCACTCAAACCAGGCGCGGTCCAACCAGAGACCCGCTGCGTGTGTAAACGTACACCACGTTCCAGAGTAAGTACAAAAAAGAATGTAAAATGCCTCAATATTATTAATACTGATTACATGTAAAAATGACACTATTTTGGTTACATTAAGTAAATATATTATTTATATTATTTTGCATGGTTCTTTTTGCTTTCTTTAATTCAACTATTAGAAAATTTAAAACTGCTTATGTGGCTCTCATTCCACACTGTATTTTTATTAGACTGGATGGTGCTGCTTTAGATGCTAAATTTTATAGTACGTCTGTCTTTCCACTCCACGTACAATAAAGTTACTCCAGGGATGAGGACTTCTTGTCATGCTATTTCACGGTTACGTCTTGGGAGGAGACACTGTGTATATCCCATTTCCACACGCTGCCACATGCATACTTTGTGCACTTCAAAAGATCCTACTTACTCTCATATAGATGTATTTTCTAGTGCCAGTATTTTTGCTGTATTTCAGATTAATTCATTTTATAACTTGTACTTTATTATAAAATTCTGAGTAGCTTCTTTTTGAAACAATTATTTTCTGTATGAAAACGAGAGAGAGAAGAAAGTACACCGTATACTTTCCTGGGCAGTGACACTAACTAGCAGAAGGGTTTGTGAATGCAATATTGAGAGCCCAATAATCTTGGACAAGTTATCAGACATTTTAACATTTAACATCACTACATTATCAGTTCTGTCAAATCAAAAGGGGCAGAGGATTAACTGGTTCAAAACAAGGGAAAGAATTCATCCATCTGACCTATTTCATATGGATCTATTTTAACATTGTTTCTTTTAATCTGTGAATTCCATGTTTGCAAAATTCTGCAGTGCAGAGTAATAAAAAAAGAAAAATGTTTAATTAAAAAAACTACAGCAACTGGCTGGCTACCATTATTCATTTTCATACATGTCATACTTGAGAAAGCTTTGCATATTTTAAAAAGCTATGGATCTCCTAAAGCTGTCAAAATCCAATCTCTGTATACTTCACACTTCTACATTTGAGTAAATCAGCACACATTTATAGGTCCATAAAACTTTTTGACTCATCCCTATGACATAGTGGTTTTTCCCCTCAATTTGTTCTCATTACCAGCTGAAGTTAATGAGAAGGTATTAAAGAATGATTTGCAATGGAATTACGTTTCTGCTTCAGAGTATCCACATAAGCTACCCTGACTTTCTTTTCTCTTGTAGAATAATGTAGTTTCCTGGGGTGAAGAATAATGGCCGGGGGGGGGGGGAGAAGAGGTTCCTCCTCTTCTTGTCATCAAACATATTAATAAAGTAGCTGATCTCAAAAGGAAACACAAAAAGCTCAGTATGAATTAGGAGAAGGGCCGCAGAAAACAAATGTTCATCATTCTTGTGTGAATTAAATTCATGAAAATGGAAACATCTTACACATACTCTTACAGTGGAAAACACTCTAAAACTCACTGTGTAGCATTTATCCTACTATTAGAGAAACAAACCTAAACCACAGTTTCCCATATTTTAAACCACTAAAGTTAATTCTTAATTTGAAAACAAAAGCAAAAGGAATTCAAACTAAGATGATGTCTTAGCTGCCTACCATTTAAGGAATCCTAGCTTATACAAGGTTTCACTTATAGTTAATATTCTGTTAAAAGAAAAAAAGGCCGGGAGAGGGGCACCTCAGGTAAGGCACCACTGAGTATGAGAACACTTTGTGTAAGTTGTAAATAGTACAGGCAAAGCTCAACTTCCTTTTCTTACTTGGTGGGTAAGGAACTGCCGCTCTTCCATCCTTCCCAAGGGGTCGGTCTTCTGCCCCAACTGCAGGCATTTTTGATGAGCGCAGCGCAGGTGATACAGCCTAAGGAACGATTATTAGTATTAAAACAAGGCAACACATATGTATATAGAGCGAGCAGCAGTCAACTATTTCTTGACATGGGCCTACTGATATTCTGGAATAGAGGAAAGACACTTCCTTACATAGGATTTACCAAGTGAACTTGCAGAAGTACCAGCAGACAGTGAGGCAAAGGAGGCAGCTACAAGCTTACCAAGAACGCAAACCAGAGTGACTAAGTCTTCCCTGCACAGATCTGGAAAGAGGAGATGCACCAGCAAGACAGAACGTGCAGACCTTAAGCAAATCTTCCTCCCAGGTGATTAGAGAAGTGGTTTCAGGGACACAATAATTAAATTAGGGTGGTGCCTCCAAGTAGTCATTAGCTATCCGTCTGGTTTTCCTTCTGTTTGCAAGCAGGCGGTTAAAAGAAGCGACCTCAAGCCCTCCCAAAGTATCACTCTTTCATTTTTCACCCCCCGCCCACACACATTTTCTGCTTGTATTTCCACAATTACTATTCTTCACAAAAAATAACCATATCATTTAAAATTAATGAAATATGCAGAGGGCTTTTCTTAGATTTGTTATTCAAAATAAATTCAGTTTTTTAACAGGCGAGATTATCTTTAACAACTCAAATGAACTGGTGGCAAGATAAATAAAACAAAGCAAAAAAAAAAAAAAGATTCTCACAAACAGAAGGCCTTTTATTTACGTACACTTATTCAATGACATAGAGTTGAAACGTAAAATTAAATTCAAAGATATCTGAGATGGAACGTGGACAACAGCCACACAATGCCAGTTATCAGTAAGATGAATTAGCAAAAGCAATTCTAAGGTAAATGATTCTCTTGATTAAATGCCAGGCTAGAAATCAGAGTAAACAATCATTTCAGAGAAATGAAAATTAGATTAAAGATGTCCAACACTCCATTACACATTAACGTTCCTAAAAATATATTAAAAAAAAAAAGAAAAGTAAACCTATCTTCACTTAGTCCAACAGTAATACAAGATTCATCCAGAGAGAGAGTACAGTGGCTCTCGCCACACGCAGTAATCACTAGGGATGGAGGCGGCGAGCAGTCCCCGGCTACTCCGTAATGCTTGCGTTTTCCCTTTTCTTACTTCTCCCTTTCTACTTCTTTTTGATTCTTTTTCTTTTCATGTTTCCTCCCCATTATCACCACCGAAGCATCTAACCAAACCCTAAGGATCATCAAAATCAATTCCAGATAATGCCTGGCCTTACAGACATAGTCAAGCTCCAAAAGGCTCTCCGATGCCTGGATCTACCATAAGGAAATGTGTCATTTCTTGTACAAAAGTTTTTCTTTTTTAATGTTTATTTATTTTTGACAGAGAGACACAGTGTAAGTAGGGGAGGGGCAAAGAGAGAGGGAGACACAGAATCTGAAGGAGGCTCCAGGCTGGGCTATCGGCACACAGCCTGACGTGGGGCTCAAGCCCACAGACCATGAGATCATGACCTGAGCTGAAGTCAGATGCTTAACTGACTGAGCTACCCAGATATCTCGGAAAGTTTTTCTCTTGTCATGTCCTTTTCCTTCATGCAGCTGCTGCCTGAATTTAGGTCCTTGTGTTTTAATCCCATGAAAGTTACCAAACAGTACCCCTGCTTTCTGTGTGAGGCACTGATGGAAGCCAGCTCTCAGGTCCACATTCAGCAGCCTTCACAGAGGAACATATGACAGGCAGGGTTCGAAGTCCAAAGCCATAATAAGCATGGTAAAAAACCTTCTTAACCTACCAGAGAGCAGACCAGTGGTCTGTTCATAATCCCAACCCCCGGCTAGTTCATTCTTGTTGCTTAACCAAGGCTCATTCCAAGCTCAAACTAATGTCTCTCCCCTGCCTCTCACTAGCCCTGTCTTTCTACATCTCGAGTCAAATCCATTCTTGGAGACTATTATGATCTCATCATCTTCTAAGGACTTACATTACTAATGGTGTATATTATCTGTTAATCGGATACATTTTAAAGTGAGAACAGGCTTCAGAATTCTGATTCCTACTTAAAGTTTAAGCTTTAATTGACACACTGTTTGTCACTTCGTACTTGAACATCCAGCATCTTTAAACCAAGTCAATTATGCACTCACAGTAAGAAGTGCGTGCACTCATATTTTTGAAGTATATTTTACATTTATGTATAAGCTATTTCTCCTGAGGTCTGTGAGTATCTCAGTATAAGGGTGGAAATTTAACATTTGTAACCTTGAGTACACGTCACAAAGGAACCAATCATCAAGTGATTAACAAATATGTGAGAAATGGGCAGAAGAGAAGGAAGGTAAGTATGTAAATGATATAAACTAATGAACTTACTTTTTTGAAGACAGGCCCTATCTTACTCATTTCTAGGTCCCCCCAAAATAACAGGTACTTCTATTTGCTCCAAAGTACAGAGGTGGTTAGGAGGGTGAGGACACAAATGTCCTGACTCAGGGTCTACATAATACACGCCTACTAGTCTCATGATATTTAGAAGGATTTAAAAACTAAATGTGAAAGGGGCAGCTGGGCGGCTCAGGCAGCTAAGCACTGACTCTTGGTTTCGACTCAGGTCATGATCTCACGGTTTGTGAGTTTGAGCCCCACATCAGGTTCTGTGCTGACAGCACAGAGCCTGCTGGGGATTCTCTCTCCCTCTCTCTCTCTCTCCCCCTCTCCCGCTCACATTCCGTTTCTCTCAAAATAAATAAATCTTTAAAAAAAATTCAGTCTTTAAAAAATGTTTTTAAACGAAATGTGAAAGATTTTGTGCTTGCTTCGGCAGCACATATACTAAGTGTGAAGGATTTTAATGTGTACAACAGGAAAAACACTAACACAAAAAGAAAGGCATCAACCAACAAAACCCAAGGCATGGTAGAGACTGCACGAGCAACTCTGAGAATCCTTTCAAGGTAGACAGACATTTCTGAAGAGGAGTCTGAACCTGAAACAGGGCCCCCAGAATTCAGTGGACCAAACAGTAAGGAGAAACTCCAACAGTGACATGAGTCCGCCCAGTTCGGGAAGTCTGTTTGTGGAGCCATGGCAGACTCACCCCAAGTTCGTCGTCGTCGGAATTATCAAAGATGTTGTCTAAGTCGTGCAGGGAAGGTGCCAGGTCGGTGACCTGCGTGAGGCTGCCGGAGCCGGCTCTACCAGCAGCGCTCTCCTGCCGGGCGTCTGCGGGGAGGGGGCGGAGACGCAGAGTGAACAACTTCATCAAGAGAGGAGTGAGCAGAGGGCATGGATCTCAGTGAGCAAGACCTGCCTGTGAAGTTCTTCCCTAGGTTTTCAGTTAAATTTAGAGACAGTAATTTCCAAATATGTTTATCAGTTTTGAAAATAACTGAAAAACAAACTATGAAAAATCAAAGATGAGAGAGATCAAATTATTGGTATTACAGTAAAAACAGAATTCTAAATGGAGAAGCATCTCCCTTGCATTTTACTTTAGCAACAATCCAAGTGAGGCAAATAATCGTTGTACACACCTGTTTTAGTGGCAGAACTGAAAATAGACATGGCATTTTTCCCATCAGGCACCGGCGTGGAATGACCTGGTGTAGTGACATCCTTGGTACCAAATCCATCCTCTGACTGTATAATAAATTCAGCCAAACAAAACACATGAACACCAACCCAAAGTGTGGAATATGAGGGAGAACACAAAGAATTAGAGGGGAGAATGGAACTTGTTATGAGCACAAGTATGATAAACCATGGTCTATGCAACCAAGGGAAATAAAAGATCGGTCCTTTTCCCTGAATTTAAATAGAACCCCAAACTCCCACACTTGCCCTCCAATGCTGTGGAGTATTCTGAGTCCATCTGGGTTTTATGCCTCATCGGTACTGGTGGCATCTGACTACAGTCCTGCCGTGGTGTTAAATGCTGCCTTATAACATTTTAGATGCTGAATTGGGGTTCAAGCTTTCTGGACCCAGGCAGGTCTCTGTCAAGGAGTGTCTGAAGCAGTCTCCTGAACCGTACTGGCTTCCTGTCTTATTTCCTCTGTTCTCAAGAAGACCTCTTTAAATGGCCCAGTAATGTTTTAAATTTTGGAATGTTTTAAAATTTAAGGCTAAAGACAGCACACACCCCCAGTACTCATTGTTATGACAACGAAACCAGTAAAAGTAATACCGACAGAAGCTAGGAGGTACCGTTGCTATTAATTCAGACGCATATATAAAGCGCTTGGTATGGTAAACAAACCAGGCGCTCCATAAACAATAGATACTGTCATCAGCATATTTTTCTTTACATTTTGGCTGTTTTGGAATAATAATTAAAAAGAAGGGAGCATAGGCCAACCAGAATTAGCGTATGAGAGGAAGCATGCACTGTACAAGCTACAGCCTGGAAAATAAGAGGCTTCATTTGTGCTCAGCGGACTCTTAAACAAAGGTGAGCCATGACATAAAAAGGAGCAATACGCTGTTCAATACAGTAGTACCAAGAGCATGAATATGGGGACAGAGCAATCAGGCAAGACTATCTCAAACATTCTGCCTCAGAAGTTTTCCCCACACGTGTTGTACTGACGAAGATCAAAACCCACACCATGCGGGACACCCTCCATGTTGAATGGTACCTTATTCTTTTTCAGGGAATCTTTCTCTGCCCCTTGTTTGCATTTCTTGTTTGCTGTAAAGATGTACTTTATGTCGCCATCCTCAAAGGTGTAGGGATCGTTGACTTCTCCCAAACTGTCTCCAGGTTGCTGAGACAGAGGCAATGGGTCAAGGAAGTGGAGTGGCTGCACCTGGGGCTGCTTTTCTTGCCAGATTTTAAACCGTTTGTTAGGCTGTGCTAAGAGTCTAAAAGGGAAAATAAAGGACGATTTAAGCAAGGTAAAGTATAAAGATGGATGTTTTAAAAAAAGAGCAGCATGTAGGATTTAAAGCATTTGCAAAACTTAAAAAATTATTCTCTTACAAGAAGTTCTTTTAAAGAGTACGTTCACAAATAAAACTTATTAGGTCTTTGGGAAGAATAATGTTTTTGTCTCTGATTCCACGGACTTTGGTTAAGAGCACAGATAGGCCCTAAGAACAGACTGTCTGGGTTCAAGTTCAATCTATGTCAGGGACTAATCGCATGACCCTCACTTTTCTCAGCTATGAAATGAGGCCGTAAGGAAGACGAGGGTGGTGAAGAGTAGCTGAGACGGCCTATGTGACTGTGAAGAACAATGGGGCAGACTGGCAGCCCAATAGTACGTGGTATTATAGGAGACGCAAGACACACACTCGGGTGCGCCTGAAGCCCTCCTCACAGGTGTCGACATAAAGACCGCACTGACCACAGCGTGGAAAGTCTCACCAAGCTACGTTCTCTGCCTAGCAAACCGCAGGCCAGAAATAAACATGTACAAATGTACTAAATGCCACAATGAAGACTTCACATGCCAACATGTGTAAATAACAACACGTGTGCAACCTCTCGAAGGACAAAGCTCTTGACTTTCAAACACTTCATTTTGTCTCTGGAGGGTTAGCGTGGAGATGTGAGGAGGGAAGCCCTGATTCTCGGGACCCTATGCCTCTAGTGGCAGGAGATCGGGTGGGTGGGACACAGAGTCTCCTTACCTTTGCAATGCGGAGCTCTCTGAGTTTACCTCCATTTTGGCATCACATCTCTCGCCCTGGAGCTCTGGAGGCCGGAACTCAGCATCGTCGATGGGCGGGAGACGGTAACTGCTCCACCACTTGTCCGACGACTCCGGATGCGAGGGCCTGATCCCACAGTATAAGGCTGTCTCGCTGACCTCTGCCATCAGAGGCAGTCTTTGGCCTACGACGACAGTTCTGTCATCCAGAGTCGACAACTGCTGGAGTTCTAGCCCATTCCCATAGAGAGCTGGGTTCACAGGGACAGATGGCGGGTCTAAACTCTCCGTTTCCTGACCTCGTGGCTGAGGGCTGAGTGTTGGCGGCAGAGGGGAAATAGGGGAATGAGGTGAATCCATAGGATTCAGATTCATTTGCTTGCTTGTATTTCTGGAAGGCACGGCCATTTGTTTATCATACTTCCTGCTGCTAGACACCTCTAAGGAGGAGTCGATCCCTGCCAACCCTAGCTTCTGTCCTGGTGGATCTTGCTCCATACAGAACTCGTCGGCCACAGAGGGCCTATGGTGAAATGGTATCAAGGGTCTCTTCTGCAACTTGTCTCCCTTTTCTGGCCTCTCTGTTGTTTTGTGCTTAGAAGCAGGAGGTGGTAGAGATGAAGACGAAGACGGCCCGGCACTGAACCCTGGCTGAGATATTGCGGGAGGCCGACTGGGTCCTACTGCACAACGTTTTAAAAGTTTATGCCTGAAATGAGAATCAAAACAAGGTTAAGAAACACACACCCGAGAATAATGGCACCGTTCTAGCAGTGTGACATCCCCCCACCATCAGGACAAGACAAGGCTGTACCTTCTAAGCACACACTGGACACACTAATACATTGAAAAGGACTTTAGGTTCATTATTCTTATGATGACAAAAACTCAACACACTCTGACAGAAAGTAGTGAATCAATTCCATAAAGTTAAGCAGGTAAGGGATGGACTTAACGTTACTAGCTCCTACCAAAAGACTGATTTGAAAAACTCCGAAATCTTTCAAATTTGGTAAGGGCCCCAGATAATGTGTTCACACTGCATTTTAAAACCAAGAGTAATGAGATCATTTGCCAGGAGAGAGAAAAAAGCTTTCAATTTCTGTCTTACAACACTCTATTAACTCCAATATAGAATGGTTTATAACAGCTTGTAGTCTTGTAAATTGGGAACAAAATAATCATGCGATTTTCCCCCAAAGTGTGAAACCCAGGGTCGATTCTAGGAATATTTAATAGAATAAACAGACTAGAAACCTTGTATGCCACTATTACTGGAAAAAAGAAGGAAGGAAAGACAACTTTGGATCTTACAGACTGACAAACTTAGACAGAAGTAAAAAGACAGTGAGTGGATATAAAAACCACGCGTGTACACAAATGCATCTGTACTAATAAGCAGGGTAGCAGGTCTGCTCACATCCTAACACACTTCTTGGTAAGCACAGGTGCAAGATATTGCTCAGTAAGGGCCCACTAGATGATGCCAAGGTTTAATCTGTGCAACAAAGTTATATAGCAGGTCAGCCAGTTCCTCCCAATATATAAATCAACCCAGGGAAAAGTGTAAGCTCTCCTGCTGGTGTAGCAGTAACTCTCTGAGGCCACGAGGGTGGCATTAAATTACTGCTGCGCTGCACTGAATGATGCCCTAGAGGGCAGTAAAACGGATTTGTGCGGCATAATGGGATGGTTTAGTGGGACAGTAGGATGGCCACCCTGCCCCATAAGGCCATTAAATAGTGTGAGGAGTGGACCATTCCATAATGGGTTTGGTAATCCTGCAGTAGATAATCCGAAAAGACTCTTGCTAAAGTCTTTTCTACTCTAAGAAAACCCCAAATTCTGACTTTGAAGAAGGTTGTTTAAGCATAAGGCTATTGTCGATACGGTAAAAATTGTGCTCTAAATCTGCAGGATACCGTACCACAGTAAGAGGTGAAGGTCTCCTCTGAAAATCTCTCAATCAAATCTTCTGAGGTGTGTATTTTAAAACCTAAGTTCTGAAAGTCTTTTACATAAAACTTTTTCATTTGGATTTTCTCAGAGCATTTAACTACACCAATCCTTTGATAGGTATTTTATGATAGCCTCTTCAAAGTAAGGACTTTTTGCAAACTAGATAATCTCATATAAAGTCATTTTTTTCAATCATATTTAATAATGACTCAGCTACATTGTGCAATGGTTACAATTAAGGACACATTATTAAGTAACAGACTATCACTGCAAGTCTCTGAACAGGTAGGAGGCTCCAGTGAGGGAGGCAGGCAGCAGGAGATCAGGCTCAGAAAGCTAACTATATGGCTGGTCAAGTGGTGGTTAGACCCAGACGCAGGGCCAAATAGTGTAGAAACACACACAGTGACTAAAAGCATGAGGAAAAAGAATTACTATCACAGACATTTCAAAGGAAGTCATTGTGAAATACAAGGATAAAAATCATCTATAAGATGGAAGAAAAATACATAAATGATACCGTCTCTAGGCTGAGAAGGGACAACGGTGATTTTAAAAAAAATGTACCTGACCTGTGAGAAAAGAGACATGTCAAAATCAAGGGTATTTCTCAAAGGTACCCCCCTACATACAAGACTAGAGTATATATGGGAAGTCACATCTAGAGATAAATATCTGGGACTCAACAAAATCAAATGCAGAACTACAAAACAGACCTGAAGGTACAAGAATCTGGAGAGGAAACAGGGGAATGACTCCAGCGGACAAAAGAAAACGTGTTATTTATTTACGGTAAATAGAATTTGAGGTAAAAAGAATTTTAGGTAGCAAATAAAAATGTCAGAAATCAGTAAAAAGGTGAAAAAATCTAGATAAGGAAAAGAGAAGCAAAAATAAGATGAGGGCACAAGCAAAGTTAAATACACTAACATTTTTATCCTAGGTACTTTCTAAAGGTAGCCCATATAACTTGGCTGTGAGCTGTTGAGAAATCAATGTTAATAGGAAAACACTTTTTGTCACACAATTTACAATGGCCTAGAAACAGAAGTAAAACAGGTATTCAGCTGATGTATCATACCTACCCTGAGACCAGAGAGAGGTTCTCACATGCTCAGATGCTTACTGAACAAGCAACTTCTTCAAAAACATCATCTTTGAAAAATCAATAGTGAGGTTTATTAGGCTGATACTTATAATGTTTCTCAAAAAGAAAAAAGCTGACTAGGAAAGGCAGAGCTTGATAAAGAGGATCAACATAAGGGGCAGGGAGGACAGGAAGAAGGTGTCAAAACTGCTGTTTAAGTGTGTATACAGATACACACAGTTTGCATATATTTTCAGGGGTCATTTGACTGCCTCCCTACTCAGAAACCAACTTATTTATGCCACATGAAGAACCTCTATCTAAACTAGGGAAATGAATGGCCTTTTTCTTAATATACATTATCTCCACTGAACTTTTCCCAAGTGCTGAGCAGTATCAAATGTGAAAATAGACACCTTGGAAGCAAAGCTACGCTGAGTTGCTCATTAAGTGAATAATCACCATCACATGCTCACCAGTCAGCTGAGCTAGTACGGGTAAGGCTGACACACACGTAAGAAATCTAAGAACTCTGGGGCGCCAGGTGCCTCCGTCAGTTAAGCATCCAGCTCTGGATTTTGGCTCAGGTCATGGTCCCAGGGTTGTGGGATTGAGCCCTGTGTGGGGCTCCATGCTGAGTGTGGAGCCTGCTTAAGATTCTCTCTCCCCCCTCTCCCCCCCGCCCCCGCCACTTGCAGGCTCTCATTCTTTCTCTCTCAAAATAAATAAAACATTAAAAAAAAAAAAAAGAAGAAGAAGAAGAAAGAAAGAAAGAAAGAAAGAAAGAAAGAACTCTAAGAACCCTCATGCATGCCCAGGACAAGAAAACTCTTTACTACCACAAGGAGTAAGAAGTCAAAATAATACCCATGAGAGGAAAAAATTTCTCCAGAAATCAACTTAGGGTTCTATTCACATATCTAAATGAATGAACAACAATTTTAGCTTTTGGCAGGTGTTGTTACCAAGGACCTTCCTCAAGCATCAAAACACACCAGCACCAACAACAAAACAACTTATCTATGAAAGACCTATTTAATCCAAATTCTATGAATTCTAGCCAACTTATTTAATACTGAGCTCTACTTTCAAATTAAGAATAATTAAATAAACTCATTTAAAGGAGAAGAGACTGTCTTGTCAAACTGATGCCTTTAGTTTTGAGGTAGTTGCTGTGAAGAAACTGGCAGGAACAATCTGATCACGGGGCCGATCTACTAAAGCTCTTTTGGAGTCCTGACAATGAAGCTGCATCATCTGCACAGAAGAAAAGACTTATCTTGTTCTTCTCCACTGGAGGAGGAAGAAGACAGAACAGAAAAGAAGATAAAGCAAAATGACGGGGAAGAAGCAGTGTGAGCGTCCGGGAAACAGTCAACACAAGGTGCCACCAGCCTATTGGATCCACATTCCACCTTGCCCACCACCTACCTAGAGCAAGAACAGCTGACTCTTTGGGTTGGATCCACAAAATCCCAAGTAGCAGGATTATTAGCAGGCTCTTCTTCAAGAGTTGGAGTTGACATTTGGCTCCTCCTGAAAGAGGTTAAAAAGGTGACTTGTGTAAACGTGGGATAATATTCACACCTCTAGGAGAGAAACGTTTTTACGAGACCCGAATACATTTCACACAGTAAGGTTAGCTGAGAGATAGCTCAAAGCAACCCAAGGCCGGGGTGGCGGTGGGGGGATCAACTTGTTCTTTGCACCACAAGAAGCAGGATTTAAATACTTCTATTTAAGATTAAAGTACGTTTGAACATGGGTGACATGCAGAGCAATTAAAACACTACCTGGCCCTATTGGTTGGTGCTTTAAAAAGTCACCTAAATTTTGTAGAAATAACCACAATTTTAAAAATTATCTTTTCACAGCATCTGTGAATTATATGCCCTGGAACAGACTGTTTAAATCATCCTTAAAACTCCTATATTTACTAGCATTTAAGGGCAGTACTCTACACTCATAATGTGAATTAAAGACAAGAAAAAAAAATTATCTCTTACATGTCACTGGTAATTGGTGGCAAAAAGCAGTGTCTATTATTACAGTGACAAGAAGAACACCGGGCAGTATTTTTGTATTGCTGATTCTGCTACAGCAGATACTGCAAAGTGCTTCAGTGACGGCTCTGGAGGGACCTCCCTCCTCTCTACCCTCCCCTGCCTTTCCGGGTGTCACTTCCCTGCTCTGTGCTGCGGCCACAAAGGGCTCTTAGAGTTGGCGAAGGTGATAGGTTAGTGGTGATAAAAATCAAAGACAGCAAATGACAGGAAAAGAAAAAGAAAATGTGAACTTGGAAATCATCTAGGCATTGTAGATAGAGGTGAAAACACCTGTACCAACTATTCTAAAGGATCATTTTTTAGGGACTCAAGATACCTTTTTGATTCTAGAGCATGATATATAATCTCCGACTGCGATTATTTTAGATTTTATGTACTGTAACTTCTTCAGTAGCCTACTCTGGAACCAATTCACTGGGAAATGAATATATAGTATGAATTTCCTAAAAGCTACATCCAAGTGACAGGTTTTAAATCTGTATACAGAACTCTAAGTAGTAGTCACTGAAGAAACACTTAATTAATTTCTAAGAGGAGTGGAGTTCCCAGCAGTTATTGGCAAGAGTATTCATATTTATTCTGTTCTAGAGAATGAAGACTCATTTGTTTACTTTCCTCAGGCAAGAAACGGGACATCTCAGTTATATCCAAAGAGATGTGAAAATATGCTGAATATGTTTACGTAAATCTGGGTAAGTAGAATAGTATTTATCGACCACTGTTTGTTGTCTCATTCATGCAGTTAAAATAATCACCAGCAGTCTCTTCTGAGAATCAGTTCTTCCTCTTTTCCAGAAATAAGTCAAGGAAGGCAGGGGGGAGAACAGGAGGATGGGTGGCAGGCAGGGAAACGAAGGCAGCACAGCGCTGGGGAAGAAGAGAATATGGCTTCCCCACAACCACCGGCAGAAGCACAGCAGCTGGTGAACACCCTTCTGCCATCAGTTCAGTTCAGAGCTGTATTGTCATTTAAAACAGAAGGCCAATTTCACAGAAGATGTGACAAAGGTCATATCCCTTTGTAAACAGAAAACATTCAGAAATTGGTATCCGAAGGAAAACCAAACCCACTGACAACTGTCCAAAACCATCTGTGCTTAAAAAAGAAAAAAAAAATGCCAGACGACTACTGTGCCAATCTTGAGATAATCAGAACTTCAAAGTTTCCTAAATAATCAAATTCAGTAAAGTAAACATCTTTAACATCCTTGCTTTGAATTTTGTGCTGTTAAGTTAAAAAAAATGAACTACCAATTCAATGACCCCTCAGGTTTGGTCACACTGCGGCACAATGCGATTGACACTCTTCATGCAGTAATCAGCGAGATGGCTACTGAACCACGACCCAGAGAGAATGCAGAAGCCATACTTGGACTGGGTTCTGTTGAGGATGCATTCCTTCCAGACTCGATGGACCATATGATTGTGGAGTTTTGGAGGAATCTTCCCCGATCTCTTTGGACTGTGCATAGTTATCATCCCGCCGTCTTGGGAACCTAGGTGACTGACCGCACTCTGCGTACCTCCACTCTCCCCTGAAAAAGAAAGACAATCTGGAATGTGAAAATTATCTGAAAAGGTCTCCTAGTACCTAGACTACAAGCTTATTTAACAGAAATACTCTGATTGTTGAAACTTGCATTATTTGTGTAGCTTTCTTCCTACCCCCTGGCAATAACACTATCTGTAACTATTAGCATAATTGTACACTGGCCCTTTGTTCGGTTGTGTTCTCCATAAAACAGTTCACCACATCAACACTCATGCACCCCAAGGGCGCACCCATACAGACGCATTCCTGCTCTACAGATATTGGAGACGGCTTACTTGTGTAAGGGTTCAGACAGTAACATTAAAAATGTAAACATGGATAGATTGTTTTAAATTTTTAAATCCCCAATGTAACACATAAGTTTGAAGGAAGAACAAAACAGTAGAGGGAGCTTTATGCTCATTTAGCTTAACGGCCGTGCAACTGCACACAGCACCCTGGGTAGGAGAAAAGAACTTAATGGCACAAAGCTTTTAACAAGGTCAAATTTCAAATCTGTGTGTGGAACTGTTTGTCCTTATGCCTGACACTATTTATGAAAGCTTAGTGCTAAAGCACTGAAAGAGGTGGTCTCGACATTCTGTATCAGAGGACAGTTAAGTAGCTTTTTTATAATAATTCCACTTAGTTTTCCCAACTACAGTTGGTATGTAATCCATTTCTTTCTATTAGGTCCACTATGATTGCTGATAACACTGGTTGTTGGTTATGGGTATTTTACTACTTCTATCTCATATAAGACAAATACTGAAGTCGATTTTCAGTATTTAGATTCTGATTCAATTACTTTCATCTATCTGACTTTGTAAGTATATCATGGGTTTTATTCTCAATAGAACTATGATCAAAACATCTTGACCGAAATAATCAGTTTTAAGCACTCTAGAAATCTCTATCCTTATCTGAAAGATAAACAAACAACCTTATACCACAAATTAACAGTCCTGATATCAATGGAACACAACTGTTATAGAAGTTGAACTGTTAGGCTTAGCTCTATCTTAAAAAAACAAAAAACAAAAACCAGTGTCAAAAAGCTTACAATTCTAAGGAACTGAAGACTGCTTTGTCCCTATAAAAGTATTATTATATTACAAAGGAGGTAAGTTAAAGGGGACAAGAAATTTGGTCTTTCATTACTGTCTTTCATCTTAAAAGTTTCCTGACTTGGTCTGTGGTACAAAATAATTCATTTCAATTTTATAATAGATTTTCAAATGCTTATTATAAAACTAGGAAAAGTGGAGAAACAAACAGAAATAGAACACATAGCTCTTTGCCCCCCAAACACCTTACCACTCAGCTAAAGAGACTGTATGTCCTGGGCAGCATAAGGGGGTAATTCATGAACAGAGGAGAGGGGTGGGGAAAATAAGGCACAGTCTTCTAACTAAAACTGAGTTCATGCTTTTCAGTAGCTTTTAATGATTTAACTTAAAAGTGGATGATACCTCAAAGGGAATTAAATGAGACTTGTATTCCATGCTGTCCAATACATATTGAATATTGTTTCTCAGAATTACCTCTATGAACAGAAGGTGCAAGCTGATGCACCGATCCACATGTGGCAGGGATGACCTCACCAAACCCAACTGACCCTCCTTCCCCTGCTAATCTAAGGGATTCATGGCCATTTTAGAGGGAAGGGGACTCCATTTCGTTCTATACACAGGAAAACTTGTCAACGTGCAACGCTCGTAACTACAGACATGACATGACCAGGCTGAGCAGAACCCTGGTGGAGCAGTAGGGGTCCTAAGCTACACTTCAACGTATCATGATTATTATCACAATATGAAAATTTAGACAAACTCATTTTACAAAGACCCAGTTGCTTTTAGTTAGTTGTTAGAGAGAGCGCAGGCCTTAGGGGATTTATTTACCCAGGACTTAACACAATGATACGCACACAGAGTCCAGGGGAGGGAATCTGGAGATCTACAGTGAGGAAGTCTATACTGAAAACCACCATAAACAAAACCTGGTGTCTCCGAATTGGGAAATTTGGAGTTTTGAACTGATAAGACACCAGGACACCATGCACACAGCAGGCTTTCAATTTTATACTGAATATAGATTTCACTAAGTACCAGGAAAAAGAAAAACAACCAGATAAACAAACAAAAGCTGGGGCGCCTGGGTGGCTTAGTCGGTTAAGCGTCCGACTTTCGCTTGGGTCATGATCTCGCGGTTCGTGGGTTCGAGCCCCGCGTAGGGCTCTGTGCTGACTGCCAGCTAAGAGCCTGGAGCCTGTTTCAGTCTGTGACTCCCTCTCTCTCTGACCCTCCCCTGCTCACGCTGTCTCTCTCTCTCTCCTAGAAATAAATAAAAACATTAAAAAAAAAAACAAAAAAACAAACAAAAGCTGGTAACAACTTATGTAGTGCAAGTGTTTAAAATCCAAGCCCTGAGATGAAACGTGATCAACTTTTCAAATTATTGCTAATTCTCGTCTTTATATTAATAGATCATCTCTATGATGGTTATTAAAAAAATTGTGAAAGTGTTTTTCTCATTTTTCTGTTTTTTTCTTTTTGAATAAACACCGAGCAAATCCTTTCACAAGGGGTCATCTAAATTCCCTGCTGCACCATGTTAGAGTCTGACGTCCTTTATTCACCATGTTAGCAAGTGCATTGCTCCTAAAGACAGGCCGCCCATTTCTACGTCTCCCACATGGTTTCTGAGTAATTCCTTCTACATAACACAATCATGTGTGCTGGAGCTGGAGTTCTGAGTACTGCTTTCAGATCGCTTATGCCACCACCTATGTATGCTGCTCTGTTGCTTACAGAGCACTGGTGAGTATGTCAGCTAGTATGTGTAATAGCTCTATAAAGTACATGGTATTTAACAGGGAAGGAAATGGAGGTCCAAGACAAGTATGAGAACTGAGTCAGGCCAACTTATCTAGTAAAAGCTACACAGGCAGGTTTTTAAATTAGGTGCATTCAATCACAGTGTCTATCTGTGTCCCTAATATGTTGCTTAGCCATGAACGTTTACTGAATACCATCCACATACCAAGCAGCATGCTAGAAACTCTGAAATACTGTCTTATCTCATCTCATGAAAATAACCACGGAAGTATGTATCATGCTTGATAGTCTGTTTTCAGTTCACCACCCAAGACTTTATTAACTCTGATGCTTTTGCTAACGGGGCCCACATTAAAAAGCCTATAAATGATCTCACTTCAGTTCAAGTCTCCTGAGTACCCTTTTCTTACTGACTAGATTCCAATTAAAATGAAGTCAACTACAACAACCAAAAAGTTAATACAGAAAATATGCCACCCAACAAAGAAGGCAAAATGCTCCTAATTTGAACAATTTCTGAATTTTTCCATTAAGGAAATTCTTAAAATTTTCACATGTAATCAATACTTATCATTAATGTAGGCAGGTTACTGCCAGAACAAATTATTTTATTCAGAGCTCCTTGAAGCCAGTCTAACTTTATTTTTTTTAATTTTATTTATCTATTTATTTTTCTTTCATAGTTTATTGTCAAGTTGGTTTCCATATAATACCCAGTGCTCATCCCCACAAGTGCCCTCCTCCATGCCCATCTCCCCCCTTCCCTTTCCCCCCACCCCCATCAGCCCTCAGTTTGTTCTCAGCATTCAAGAGTCTCTCATGGTTTGCCTCCCTCCCTCTCTCCAACTGTTTTTCCCCTTCTCCCTCATGGTCCTCCATTCAGTTCCTCCTGATTCACCTATAAGTGAAAACATATGGTATCTGTCCTTCTCTGCTGCCAGTCTAACTTTAGAATATAATAAGGAAAGAACCAGCCTACACCTGCCCTCAGCTGGGGCAATGGTGAGCTGGGCACATGCTTCAGCCATTCTCAGTGTTTCCCACCGTTTAAGGAAAAAAAAGAGCAGCCTGCATCTTGTGCCCTGATTCTGTGTAGAGGGATAAGTGTGTGCCCCGAGCTTAGGAGAAACTACACTGTCCGACTGGAATGGAGACTAACATGGCACAATTAAAACTTTGAAGCTCCATTATTCTGTTTGTTGAAAATTTTCTTCTCCATTTTGCAAAAGTCCCATGTCATGTCACTTCCACCTACTCCACAAGGCATTTCCCAGCGTGAGTTTGCTCATTCGTTCGACGACAAGGGAGCGACGTGACCCTCTGTGCTGGCCTCCACCGAGGACCTGCCCAGGTTGCGCTCACCTGTCACGGCCTGTTCCGGAGAGGTGGGGGGGGTGAGAGGCAGCCCACAGTTACTCGGGTCCCTCACGCTGCCCAGCCCCTGCTGCCCGACGGTAACATGGCCTCCAGCACCGGCAACGCTCTGAGGAACCGGGATGTCGTTCTGAGAGATTAAAACAAACGCTGAAGGGTAAACCATCCGCACACCACCTGTGAGAGAGAGAGCATGGAGAGAGCCGGGCCTGAGAAAGCGTCCACACCAGGCTGTCAGCTCTACTGCTCTAGTGGCCAGAGTCAAGCTCAGTGATGAAAAGGAGATGCTCATGAGGCACACCATGAGGGACATGCTCCCCTCCTTCCTAAGCTACGAGCTGTTTAAACATGAGTTCCAACACTATGCAGATAGCATTTGGAATACAGGGACCACTGGTGCTTCGGGCAAGATAACTACTCAGCATTTACCACTGTGTCAAGAGAATAAAATAAGATGGGAAAATTATGGAGAGTATTTTTGATGAATCTCAATGATTATCTTTTTAAATTAAGAAAGGTGAAGAAGACAGAGTAAAGTTCTTCAGGCAAAATATTTTCTCTTACCAACAATTACTTCCACTGCTACAGGGAAATCATCATCATAGCCCAACTCCTCCTCTTCTTTCAATTCTTCTTTCTTTTTCAGCACCATTGGGTAGAAATACTGCCATTCCTCAATCAACTTACGGGTGGCTGGATCTGACATCTTGTAGGCCTGGCCTGTTAGCGTGCCATTTAAGCCATAAGGACTTACCAATACTAAGGCAGGGAGGAGAAACACATGTTACAAGTCAACTTAATAATTCCTACTTACCCGTAATGCTGCATATGCTAATTTAGGTTAAAGCATAACATCGTTGACTGGATATCATTTTTATTTCCTGACTCCTTTCAAAGTCTGATTTTTTAAAGTTGCACATTTTAGCACCTATTATATGCCTCTAAACTCGCATCAATTTTTTTAAGGAAATCAAATGGGAAGGTAAAAATATTATGAGACAGCTGTGTCAACACATAATATATAAACTATCTATATATTAAAGCATATACACAACTGTTTGATAATAGCCTATGCAATGTGAACACCGAGTCTTTCATAACAAAAGAGAGCCATTTACTACAGACACCCCCAAAACTTGTCTAGAACTTGAACACTCTTCCCAGGGGTTCTGAGACTTCCTAAATATCTGAGGATTTTAAAAATAAAGAAAACTTGTAATAGTGAAAAAGTCTTAATGTATCAAGTCTGAAACATAATCCTTAGTTATAATTTTAGTTACGACTGTTCTGAAGGTCTGTTGATGAAACAACTTCAAATAAAATTTATTATACTCAATAAGTAGAGGACTCAAAGTCCCTCTATCTTTCTCTTTCGGTATTTGACCTGATGTTATTTTCACTGAGCTAGACACAAAAAAGTAGTTAACACGATGCTGTATATAACCCAGCCAGGTTGTAGCCATGGGGTGAGGCTAAGCTTCAAAACAACACTTTTCTGGGGATAAACTTATTCTTAATCCTAATTTCTAAAAAAATTTCAGCATTATCATACAATGACATGTTCTTTCTGTGGATGGCTTTTATTTTTTTTAAACAGCTAGTTGATAAAGTACATCCTTCAAGACAGAGATAGCTGTAGACATCCCATACTCCTTTCTGCTTCTGCTGTTCCTCACTGATCCAAAAGGGAGAAAAATATTCCAACCAACACAGTTAAACAGGGGCAATGTTTCCATATTAATACTTCAAGGAAATTCCACACCAGTGTGGTTAATTATGTTCACGATAATTATCTAAATGCCAATATCTGCCCTAAGAATGTATCTTCTCCCTACCAATCATGGGAAATAAGCAGGATAACATCCCATGAGAGTCTTCTATGACTCAAGACATTAGTAACACACTAGGAAGACTTAAAATAAGTGGCCTATGGAGACCTGATTATACTAATATTACCTTTCCCAACTTAGAAGATTAGTTACCTTCCCTCATGACAAGAATTCCCTCTGTTATTATCATAAATAAATGCTTCTATTTTCAGTGATAAAGTCTAGAATGAAGTTAGATGGTCGTCAACACCTTCACAGTCAAGAAAACACAATATTTAACTAATTCTGTACTCCACAATATGCACATACTGTACAACTCTTACATGTACAGTTCAGGGACTGGGCTTTGAGCTGTTGAGCAGTTCACATAGCAAAGATCCCAAATTAAATAATGATAAAGCATACAGTTTAAAATGTGTTACACAGTAATGGGGGCGGGGGGGAAGGTAATAATTAGGACACAGCCAAATGAAGATTCAATGTTCTTTTTTACCTTAAAAAAAAAAAAAAAGGCTCAGTTATCTTTAGGGCAAGAACAGATGTTTTTATCAAATTAAATTAGAATCATTCGTAGGAAACTAAAAGGCAATCATAAATAATATGGAGGCTAAACACTCATGATAGGCTGTTAAGTCCATAAAATTATTTTAGTTAAATCCCTTAAAATGTCAGTGTTTTTAATAATTACCTTGTGTGATATACTGAGACCATAGCAGACATCTCTAGTAAATTAGACTGAACCAAAAAAAAATTTTCAGATGGTTCAATCTAATGTTATTACATTTAAATACTGTAACATTTATAAAGCTATTCACAGAAAATTCTGAATTCCAAAAACTAAATTAAAGATTTGGAATTCATGGTTAGAAAAAACAAACATGGAGTTATTTTGGTGATACTGAGGTGACTAGCTGAGAATTAATGAAAATATAAACGTTAAATTGTGTTACAACCAAAAAACTACAATCAATGAAGTCTTTAATTAAAAGAAAATAATAAAGATATTAACATCATTGAAGAAAAAATTTGAATTTGGATTAAATTTCAAAACCAGTAATTTAACACCACTTTTCTGTAAGTCACTGCATGCCTGAAACCATAGAACAAACAAAACAATGAAAACCTCTGCTTAATACAGTTTGTCAATTACTCATTGGATTCTATTTTTCAAATACTTATTGACCTTCTTTTGTTCTGAAGGAAATGCTCTACATTTTATTCCTTACTGCAACCTCACCTACGATCATGTGTATATGTGATAAGGTCCATTTAAGATAATATCTCATTCTGCAAATCTTACTGGGCAAGGTGACTATCCACTTGGTGGGGCAGAGGTAGACAACAAGGGCATCACCACTTACCCTGAAATGGAGCAGGTGAAGACTGAGCCATGTGTATGTGTTCCTCGTTGATCAAATAAATTGGCTGGTGTTGGGCAATCTCCACACTTGTGCACACATTACTTTCTCCATGAAGAAAGAATGTGAATGCGCAGGACAAATGCTCACTAAAAAAGAAACAATGAGAAATTTAATTCTACATTTTGGTAGGAAATGAGCGCTAGACACAGAATGGGATACAGCTTTGCTTTTATCAATCTCCCAGCAAAGCTTGCCTCTGTGGATATTAATAGCATATACTTCTAGTTGATTTGAACAAATAATGTAACAATGACTTGTTGATGAACTAAAGATACTATACAGTTACACTCCAATATGAAATTTGGAAAACTATTGTGCAGATTGCCCCCTGTTTCATTTGCATAAAATGTCCTATGCTGACTATAAACTCCGAAGGACAGAAAAAGAATCCTAACATTTTTCTTCCTTAACATTTTCTATCTTTTGAACTGACTTTTAACAGATTCTAGGGACAATGATAAAATAGTTTTATTTATGTTTGGTATGACATAACATCAAATTTTATAAGCTTACAAACATTGAACATGTTTAAAACTGCTCATCTAAAAATAGCAATTAAGGACACAGTTGTATATAAATCCCCAGTACACAATTGCCAAGGTATGTCAAGTCTCTAAAAGGGCTGGTAATATTATACTTAATTTTTACAATTTACTTCTCATCACAAAATTTTATTAAAGCATTCCGCTTCTCCATTTTCCACACAATTAGCTAAAATTTGATAAAAATGATCTGTCTTGAGAAAAATAATTTCAAAATGACTACAGTAGCACATTCTTTCAAAGTTGTTAACTCTGGCCCTAAGCCAGTGATAATATCTCCATTTCTCAAGACAGCTCATAAGAACACTTGCCTGATGAACCAAAGTCACTGTAGGCCAGGCAGCCATCGTTTAAATAATCACCTCCAAGATGTCCTTCTTCTCAAAATCTCTCTAAAATACTATAAACTGTATTTTGAGTACCATTCAAAACATTACACATTTTGCTTGGGTATAAAATTATAATGCTTTAAGGAAAAACTGAAATAAAAACGGTAACAGTTTCATTCCATCACACAGTGAAGTATATATATTCTTCCTTGACAAGTGCGTTGAGATAACCTGAAAAAATTTTGTGTTTTACTAGAACGCAAAGTTTTCGTCAGTAGGAAACATCTAATCTTGAGAGTAACTAAAATTTTGTAAGAATTTTGAAAACTTTAAACATCCTCTTGACACACACTTTTAGGTTTCAAGTTCACAAGGAGGAAATGATACACACAATTTAAACGTTCACAGGCAGAAGACAGTATCAACTATAAAAATGTAAGGTCCTTTATTTATGGAAATGACCTTAGAAACAGATCCTCCTCAACACACAACATTATGCCTGGCACATCAGAACCAAAATACAGGCTTACTGCTTCTAGACTGGTTGGTATTCCATCTATAAACTTCAGTGAGGGGTCCATCATGCCTACTGTCCTGTGTAGTTCAGTAGTGTATTTATAAGACCGCCGTTTAGAGTTGCAGATACTGGGTGCAGCACAGATACTATGTGCTTTGTTCTACTGATTCCCAACTGTGCACGAGAAGAAATGCAACCAACATTCATAAAATAAAGCCAGACACTAATACAGAAACAAATAAAAACAAAACAATATACCACAGGAAGGCTAAGATGTACTGATTTTTCCAATAGGGAAGATCTGAGTGCTTCAAGAAAACAAGAACAAGTGAAAACAGGATTTCAGTAGTAGAGTGAAAAGAAAATGAGAGAGGGCATAAGGCAAGGAGTAGATATTGTCAAGAACAGCATGTGGTTTGGAAATTCCAAAAGGGGGAAAGATGAGACATGATGGGAAGGAGTTTCAAAAAGAAGTCAGAGGTCACACCTTGAGACAACCACTAAGTTAACTTCACCTTTCTGATCAGTTTCCTCATACTTAAAATCAGCTGTGAGAGCAAATTGCTGACCCCTCATGGGTTCCGATTCAGGAGGTCCAGGGTAGGCCCCAAGAATCAGCATTCCCGAGTGATGCTGCTGCCACTCCCAGCCCAAGGACCAGACTTTGAAAACCAGCGAACTTGATGATACCTACATCTCTCTCCAGCTATACAGTTCTGGTTTTTCTAAGAATACATGACACAGAAGGGTAGGAATGACAACAGTGACATTAGAAAGTAGAATCCCCCTTTGACCTAGCAATACCACTTCTAAGACTTTATTCCATAGATAAAACTATTGTACAACTAATGACTACAAAGCATTGCTTGTGATAAATACTGAAAACAGCAGAGATGCCCATCGGTAAAGAAATGGTTAGCTAAACTGATCTACGATTCAGCCCTACAAAGTAATACCGTGCAACCACTTAAAAGAAAATGATCATACTGATATGTGGAAACCTCCAACCTAAAGTCATAAATATGAGGGGGAAAACCAAGGTACAAAAACACTGTGACTAATATAGTCCCATCTGTATAAAAATGGGCACAGGTCAGGGGAATATATGCACACACAATTTGCTTACACTGGCATAAAATTTCTCTGTAAGGATACACTTTAAAACCCTAATAATCCCGGATGCCTTTGGGGAATGACACGGCATGACTGAGGGAGAAAAAGAATTCACAATTCTTATTCTTCTATGCTTTTGAATGTGGGGCCATATGTCACACAGAGAGTAATGGAGGTAAGATCTGAAGGAGGCCCCTGCCTCCTGTCCTTGTGCAGTGTGCGTGCTGGCCCAACTAGAGGGATGCACTAGAGGAATCCATGGTGTTTCATCTTGTCATATTTGGCTCTTAGTTGAAGCCTGCTGAGATCATCTTTGATTCTGATTCTGTTATCTGACGTACTGGCTATTTGATCAGCAAGCCATCAATATCTTTATCCATGTCATCGCTAAAAATGGTGAAAAAGACTGCAATGAGAATAGAATCCTGTGTCATTTTATCAGATAACTCCCAAATTACAGATGCACTGGAGTGCTGCCACCCATTCACTATTTCTTCTCTACAAAGGATACTCTGAAAGATTATGTCAAATCTCTGGATAAAATACAGATACATAACGACTGTCCTATTTCTCTGATCTAGACATTTGTCTAAAAGGAAAATTCAGGTAGTCTGATACAAAAGCCAACCCTCCTCATTTTACAGATGAGAAAATAGGGCTTAGAAGTCTGGCTTGCTAGTGCCATTCTTAGAGGCACCACTGGAATTTGACTTGAAATTTAATGTTCTTTCCTGGAGCCAGCTTGTCTGTAAATGTAAAGGGTATACCCCCATCAACTTTTACTTTTACTTAACCAGAAGGAGATCAGATATGTGAATAAACACTGCAAACAAAGAACTCTACAAAAACAATTATAGATATATTGTGTTAGATAGTGTTATTTTAGAGTTAGGAGGTAAAACTCATTAAAAGCACCATAACCTGTTTCTGCTTCTTCTCACCCATCACCTACTTTTAACCTAAACCATTACTCACTCAATTTCATCTATTTCATATACTCTCATCATGTGTAAATTGAAAAGTGTTTTAGAGGTGATCAACTCAATGCCTTTCTAATTCAGGGAGAAGACTATGGCCCAAAGTCAGACTGGATTAGAGCACAGCTGGTTAAGAGTTCATTCCCCCTTTCTTAACATAGTGTTCATAGTACATTCATGACATTCAACTTCCAATCAATGCTACATTCACCGGCAGAGAATGTAATTACTCGTCAGTGTGATCACACAAGGTGTAACTTACACTCACCCCCGTATCATTTCTACTAACCCCCAATGCTGCAGACTACAAGGTACTATTACATGAACACAGAGTACCAGAAACACTGTAACTTGCCTCAGTCACACTGAAATTGGAGTCTCACCCTGTTCTCTTAGGGCACACCACTGAACACGAAATCTAAGCCTTCTCAACTCCCATTTATTTTCCATTCTTTATTCAGTAAATCAGGTCTGATTCAATCAATTCTTTATTTAATCTCTATTATGCCTTAAACATGCCTGTAGTTACACTTATCTCACTCTTGCCCAGAGTCCCAGAGGACTACATATTTCCTTTTATTGGTAAACGTACTCCCGTACTCATCCTCTTTCCCATTCTTGAACAGTCTATATTTATTCCTCACTTGCTCCAGGTTCCTAAGCCATTAGACACCTTCTCTGGATCCAAGTTACTCTTTTAGGGGTACTGTCCTATTTACTCTCCCTGTTCACTAATATCAAATAATCAACAGGTAAAATGGTCAGAATAATAGTAGTATGAGCAGTAATACCACTAAATTATCTATAAATAAATAGATTTTGTGCTATACAAGAAATAAAGTACTAAGAAAATAATGGAGGGGTGCTATTTTAGAAAGAGATGGGTCAGGGAGGAGCTTCTCTGAAAAAAAGGAGAGCATTTAAACAGGCTTGATTTTTGAGTGCCAGGTGGCTCATTTAGTTGAGCATCCGACTCTTGGGTTTCGGCTGAGGTCATGATCTTATTAAGAAAACCGAAAAACCCAAACCCCACTAAAAACATATAAACTTGAATATATATGTTGACTTTCCAAAAATAATCTATTCCTTTTCCAAGAACACATGTAAGATATAAAAAAATGGACTAAATGGACATAAGACAAATCCTAAATTTCAAGGATCAGCTATCATACCAACTATACCATCTTTAATCGTAGTGCAATTTAGTTAGAAATCAGTTTAGAAACTCAAGCATGTGTTCCCTAAATAAATCATGGGTTACAAAGGAAATCACAATGGAAATCACAAAATATTTAAAACCGAATGACAATGAAAATAATACATGTCAACATCCACGAGACAAAGCGCATAGAGAGTAATTTATATCCTTATATGCCTGTAAGAAAATCTTAAAATTCAAATCAAGGAGCTGAGGGAAGGGCCAAAACGCTCAGTGAAAACAGATGAAAATAATGACAGAAACATTTATGAATAAAATAGGGGGGAAAGGTGATCAATAGAAAGTATTAACAAGAAACTTGTTCTTTCTTTGCACAAAGGGCTGGGAAACAAACTACTAGGCCGGCTACCCCGGGGGAAGCGAGTGGGGAGGATGCCTGTGCAGGGGAG